AGAAAAATGCAAATGAGGTATCATCTCATGCGAGTTAGAATGGCGATCATTAAAACATCTGGAGACAACAGATGCTGGAGAGGATGTGGAGAAATAGGAACACTTTTACACTGTTGGTGGGAGTGTAAATTAGTTTAAACATTGTGGAAGACAGTGTGATGATTCCTCAAGGATCTAGAAATAGAAATTCCACTTGACCCAGCAATCCCAATACTGGGTATATATCCAAAGGATTATAAATCATACTGTTATAAAGACACATGTACACGTATGTTCATTGTGGCACTGTGTACTATATAGCAAATGCCCGTCTATGATAGACTGGACAAAGAGAATGTGGCACATATACACCATGGAATACTATGCAACCCTAAAAAACGATGAGTTTGTGTTCTTTATAGGGACTTGGATGAATCTGGAAACCATCACTCTCAGCAAACTGACACAAGAACAGAAAACCAAACACCGCATGTTCTCACTCATAGGTGGGTGCTGAACAATGAGAACGCATGGACTCGGGGAGAGGAGCATCACACACTGGGGTCAGTTGAGGGGAGCTAGAGGAGGGGCTAGGGTGGGGAGGGATAATGTGGAGAGAAATGCTGGATATAGATGAAGGGGGAGTGGAGGCAGCAAACCACCTGGTTATGTATGCACCTATGCAACAACCCTGCATGATCTGCATGTGTACCCCAGAACATAAAGTACAATAATTTTAAAAAAGTTCCTGTCTTCATAAAGCATAAATTATAGGTGAAACAGTCAGATAAAGAAATGAGAAAAAATTTAGAATATCAGATGGGGACAAGTGCATTGGAGAAATATGAAGTATAGTAGGATGAAGGAGGGTGATAAGGGTTGGGGCATGTTGCTATTCTAAACAGGTGGCAACAGAAAACCTTCTAAAAAAGTTGGCATTTGAACAGGCACTGAAGGCTGTGGCTGCCAGCGGAAGGGCATTACAGCCAGAGAGACTAGCAAGTGCAAAAGTCTGGAAGAAGAAATGTGCTCACAGCAGCTGTACAAGGTAGGTGTTATCTTCATTTTGCACAGAAGAAAATTAAATCCAGAAAATGTAAGTAAATTGCCTAAGAGCTTATACTAATAAGTGGCACATTATGGACTTGAACTAAAATCTCCTGAATTTAAAAAGCTATATTCTATTTCAATACACTCCCTCTGTGCAAGTTTTATTAATTACAATAAAAGAATACAAAAAGAATACATACACACACACACACACCCTTCTAAAAGAAACATGGCGGTAGATACTGAAGAGTAACTGTTTCCATAGCAATTTAAGCTCTTTCTGGAGTGACTTCTTGTTCAGTAGGAAGTAGAGAGGTATGTAGTCTCTTTTCCACTAAACAGACCACCTACAAGACACAGAGGTGAGCTTGAGTCTAATGAAGTCATGACAGCGTGGCTCTTCTGGAAACTGGGTGATGCCAGTGGAAATGTTGCTTCTTCCAAGCTATGGCCTTTGGTCAGTCTAACCTTGTAGTACTGAGTGGCAGTTATGCAGCTTTTTGACTTGGGAACTTTTGCAGTAGCAGCAGAGGCCCCGTGGATCTTGAGTCAGCTGTGGTGACAGCAGCTGCCCTCTTCTCAGGCCAGTTTGGCAGTTCACTTCTGGAAGTTGTCCCTAGAGGCTCAGCCTAGAGCCTTACTCTCTAGTCTTTCTACTAATACCCTAAACAAATTCCTTTCTTCATCAATTAGTTAGAAAGGCCTCTGTTGTCTGCCACTGAACCCTGACTGGTACAGCAACTGGCACAAAGATGGGGTGAACATGATTCTCTTTGATGATTTTGATCAGGCTTCCAGTTTACTTTCACTTGTATGCATATGGCCTGCTCACCTGTTTTGTTCCCATGATCCACGTTCTTATCCATTGTAGTTTTGTGAGTACCATTTTCTTATTATTGTAGCCATGCCTTCTTTTGTCTCTGCTACTCTGAGACTGCATCATAATCAGGGAGTCTACTTCTGATGCAATGTCTTCACCTTTGTCCTTGACCTGTTTCTATTATACTTTCCAAAGGTGCTGGTACTTTCATCACTGAGGTATTTTTCAATGCTCTGTGGAAATACCCTTTTAAGACATATAGGGTACATGTGAATGTGATGTGTGATGAATCTACTGCAGCAATCCCATCTCTAGAAATCTTTGAATTCTTCCTCTACATAATACCAAGGAATTGTTATTATGTCAACTTTATTTTTCCAAGGCCATTGTTGCCTACAGATTTTGATCCACCAAGAGGGAAACTAATTAGAATCACTTCCAGCAGCCTGATCTAGTCCATTGAGTTGAGAGTCTCTTCCAAGTGTATCTGCATCAATTTATTTAGCTTCAAACGGAATTAACGTTCATTTATCCTTGGCCTACTATTCTCAGCAAAATATACAGATTTGTGCATTAAAATTAATAATTATAAAAAATTCTGTTAAATCTAATTCTTCCTATTTTGGGGATTTATTGTGCACTTGTCTATGACACGTTGGGATAGTAAATTAAATTGTTGCTTCTATACATTTAAGGAAGAAGCCCAACATTTGATAGGCCTCTGGATCTTGGAAGCAACAGACATCTCATTTTGTTGCCTTTTCTGATTTAATAACTAAATAACTCATGAACCTACCATCTTGGAGTGGGCCCCTGAGCAATCAAGGGGTCTTTAGCTTGTCTAGGCTACAGTGCAAGCAGCACTGACCTTGGCTTTTAAGATCCAGCATATCCAAAGAGCCCAGAGGTGTTGTGACTGATCAGGGTGTTGTGTAAAGGTTACAGTAAGGCTCTACAGGAGAATCACAGTTGAGAACTATAGGATTTTGGAGCGAAGCTATGTTCTCTTCAAGCAACTTCTTTTTTTCACTGAACACTTGAACATGGCCCACCAGAGACCTGAGCTATTCCCCATGAACTGAAAGCTGTCTGATCCACTAAGCAAAAATTCATGACATATTGAGGATTATTCCATCATTAAGTGGAAGTGATTTGCAGGAGGTCTCACTCCAGAATGGTCTGAAAGCAATGGTAAGTTGAATAAACACTGAATAGCTCATATCCTGCTGCCCTTTCACTTCTCTCTCTGAACCAGCAACTACGACCTGGTGGTGAGTTCCCTATGACCAATTGAAAGAGGAGGAAAAAAACTATCCAGATTTATATATGCCCTCATCAGCTAAGGGTGACAACTGCAGCACGACAGCCACATTCGGGAATCCCTGGAGGACTGTGGCAAAATGGGTATTCCCAGTGGTCCACTTTGCCTGGAAGATGAGATGTCCAGAGGTGAGGATCTGCTCTGATTCATGAGCAGTGGCTAGTGTTTGGAGCTGTATGGTCAGGAATTTGGAAAGAATAAAACTGGAAGATTTGGGAAGAATCATATTGTTGGATGTCATTGAATGGATCCAGAGTAGGAGAATATTTGTGTTTTATGAGAATACTCACCCAAGGCCTTACTGAGGAAGATCTCAGTAATCAGGAGACTGTGATCACCTGCTCTGGCTGAATGTCAGGCAACTCTTTCTCCACTTACTCCACCGATTGTTCAAAGGGCTCATGAATGAAGCAGCCTTGGTAGAAGGCTCAGAGGTCATGTAAGGATTCGGTAACATAATTTCACCCAGGCCACTCTGACCACTGTTGAGTGCCCAGTTGACAGACATAGAGGCCAAATCAGATCCTCAGAGGCCCATGTGCTCTGTGGTAGTAGATTGTTTTCATTGGATACCGTCCATCAGGGAGAGAACAATGATTTTCCCCACTGACATAGATGATTCATTCATTTAAAAATATCGATTAAACACCTACTATGTACTAGGCAGAATTCTGGGTACCTGGGTATGTCAATGAACAAAGAGAACAAAGGTTGTTGCCCTTAAGAATAAAAAGTAAATCTGGGTAACGGAGACTGGAGGTACTGAAGATGGGGGGAAGTAGTTTCCAAATTTAAATGAGACTCAAAGCCTTGGTGGTTATCTGGGAGGAAGAGCATTCTAAGCAGAGAGCAGCCCATGCAAAGGCCTCAAGCAGGCATTTACCTGGTGTGTGTAAGAAGCAATGCAGAAGGCAGGGCTTCCTCAGTGAAGTGCTAAGGGGAAGAGTGGCAGGAGACTGGAGGCAGTAGGGGTGATCGGGTGGAGACTTGTGGGCACCTAGGGCCTCTGGCTTTCACCGTAAGAGAGATGGGAGGCACTGCACGGTTTTGAGCACAGTGACTGCAGTGCTGAGAACGGGCTGCAGGGAGGAAAGGGACAAAGAAGGGAGACACGAAGCCACCGCTGTAACAGAAGTGAGCGGCACCTCAGACAAGGGTAGAAGCCTGGGGTGGTAAAATGAGGTGGTCTTCTGGGTGTAGATATTTTAAGTCTTTATATGGAAAATTAAAAGCATCCAAAAGTAAAGAATAGTATAAACCTTCTCTTCTTCCCATAACATACCCATCACCCAGCTCCAGAAATGGTGCACACATGACTGATCCTGCTACATCTATACCTATCCACTTCCTACCCACCCTCCACCCTCACCTCATCGGGTTATTTCAAACCAAATCACATCATTTTATCTACTAATTTAATGTACGCTGAATCTACATTAATAACCTTTCATCTGATACTTCAGTGTAAGCTCTAAAAATGAGTATCCTTTTGTTTTTATGAAAACATCACTAAAATAAACTATCGCGTCCAAAACATATGACAATTTCTTAATATTAGTGTACAAGTTTTCCTTAGTATTCCATGAGTAACTTTTTTCTTAACTTGATTTGAGTCAGGATCCAAACAAGACCCATGCATTCCTTTTGGTTGATATGTCTCAAGTCTCATTTAATGTATATGCCTTCTCCTTTTCTTTTTCTCTTTTTCTAGGGTGATACATGTGACAAATTCATACATTCATATAATTTGTAAAGATCAAATCAGTGTAATTGTGATATTTATCACTTTAAATATCACCTTAAATATTTTTATGTCTTTTCTTTATGTTGGAAATATTCTAATTAATTTTCATTTTTCTTTTCTCTCTCTTTTTTCCTCCCTTTCTTCTCTTTTTTTTTTTTTTTTTTTTTTTTGCCATGTATTTGTTCAAGAAGCCAGGTCATTTGACCTATAAAACTTTTCCTCAGTTTGTGTTTTGCTGGTTGCAATCCCATGATGTTATTTAAACAAGTTCCTTTTTCCCTATGCATTTTCTGTAAACAAGTATTTAGTTAGAAAGACTGGAATGGATTCAGTTTTAATATTGGGGGCATGGATACTTTGTAGGTGGTATTGTACACTTCCATCAGGAGACCTATAACATTTGGCTGCTGGTTTTTGTCAATTATTCAACCAGTAGGTGTTATCATGAACCATCCATATGAAATTGTGATTTCCCATTTCTTTCCTTCTTTCTTCATTTATTGCAAGAATTATTCTCACATGAACTAATTAGTAACTCAAAGACACAGTTCCCACAAGAAAAGCAACTTTATTTCCTTTCAGTAGGGAATGGTATTTAAAGAATAAAACCTCTGCAAGGAGTGCTTATTGCTAACGGGTTGGTAATTATTTCTAGGCCTTTTCAGTGGACAAATGTAGGAAATACTTATCTTTTTTTTTTTTCTTTTCTTTTTAAAGGCAGAGGTCATTATGAGTTTATACTAATATTTTCAATTCAAATTTAGGTTTGCAGAGTTGTCACTTAAGTTTTTAATTTTATATGTATGTCTCTTTTCTCTAATGTTGCAAGTCTTTGCCCCAATGATATTAACATAATTATCGTTTGCTTTTGGAAACACAGGCTAGAGCATGCATCTCCAGCTCTCCTGATGTCCTCTTTCAAATTCCTCTCTCTGTAAACCATTTCAGGTGGGTTCTTTTATCTGCAAGTGAATCCTGACAGTGTAAGCTGTGAGGGCAGAAGTGAAGGGGTTTTGCATTGTCTGTGCAGTACCTGTGTAGCCACTCACAGTTAAACAAACGGATGCAATTGAGTCTCCAGTGAGAGAATTGTTGTAGATGTATTAAGCAGAGATCCAGGTCACCCAGCCTTTTTCATCTCTGTGCAAATCCTAGTTCACCAAAATTTGTGCTTCTGTTTTTCAAACCAGTCCTTCTCTCTATGCCTCATCTCTAAAGCAGACTCTAGGGAATGTATCAGGTTAGGCCCACAGCAAGTAATACAGTCTTCTCTTAACTGTGGATCATAGTCATTTTAGTGAAGTCTTTCAGAGACCATCCCATCCCAACTTCAGAGTAGATGAATGAGTACTCCTGGGAGTGAATGCATATGGGTGAAAAGAATTGGAAAGCTGGAATGAGTTGATCATTCCAGGGGCTGTGAGGACTTCACTGGGCCTGGGGCTTTGGATAAGGGACAAATCACTTAAGTAGGACATTCTCCTAACTTTTCATTCTCATGACATTCTTCGTCCTTAGAGCAGACCTTTCCAGCTGAGTTATCTGGGTGTTGTGCCTTCACCTCAGCGTAGACAACTGAGACATCCTGGAATGGAAGAAAGAAGTGGAAACAGAGAGGGAGTGTGAGGCAGCAAGTAATGGTGGAGATAAAACAGTGGGGAAATAAAACTCACCTTATCCTCCAGAAGTGTCCCGGAGATATTAGCTGTGGAGAGAAAGAGAATCGCTCAACTATGGCCATAAGGATGAAGTTAGAACTCAGTCTGTCAGCTGATTCCTTAGAGTCTGGGAGCCACTGGGCCCTGTCCATTGATTATCCATTGATTATCATGTTTCCACACCTCATCCCTTAGCATGTCCTTCAACACATTTGACTTTTCATTCTATCATTTCTTAACCCAGCCCCCTGCAAGTTCTTTTCAAGCTCCATTGATCTGTTAATTCCTCCCTTAGTACCACACTAAGAAACCTCACACCTTTCCTCTACCAGATATTGAGAGATTATTTTTCTCTTAGTTTTAGTTCCTACTTCTCTTAGCTTACAATACTGTCATCTCACTACTGGCAATGGTTTGGCAAGTTCCCATTACAGTGCTCCAGATGTATGACCTGTGAAGAGAAACTCTCTCCTGCATTAGCAAGGTGTAGTTCTTGATTTTGCTGCCTTGGTTTCCTAGAGATGGAGCCAGAGTGAGGGGAAAGTTCAGCAGATATGAGTTGTTGAGCCATGCCTATTAGAAACTAAGAGTCTCAGAGTAAAACGTAGAATGATCAGAGCAGTGTAGTAATTTTATGGAGAGATAGAGCCTGATAAAAACATACACTCCGGGGCACTTGACATTTCTCTGTTTCTTACTGTATTGTTACCATATTCTTACCCCAAACCTTTTGAGGTTACAGATATTTTTAATGATATGATAAAAACTATGTACTCTCCCCAGAATAATGGTCATATGCACAAAACTTTGCATATGATGTCAGGGGCATCATGTAAACCTTGAGGAACAGGTGAGGAAACCATTCTACAGATCATTAATACTTCAAGTTTCTGAAATATAATGAGTCCATCCACAGAATGCTTGGCTTAAATGGTGTTTTGATAAATATGTCAAGGAAAGAGTGTATTTTGTATTTCTACTAAAAATACAAAAATTAGCTAGATGTGGTGGCTCATGGCTGTAATCTCAGCTCCTAGGGAAGCTAAGGCACAAGAACTGCTTGAACCTGAGAGGCACAGGTTGCTGTGAGCTAAGATCACACCACTATACTTTACATTGTAATGTCTGTACAATCCAAGAAGGAATTAGACATAATCCATACTCCAATTCCTAAGACACTGGCATAGAAAGAGGAAGAGGGCCGTATTTTCCAAATGGAAGTTAAGGTCATAAAGTTGAATGAGTATATATGCATGCATGGTGCAAAAAGAAGATTATTAGAAACATAGACTTCCCTGGAAAATGTAGAAAATTTGTAGAAAATCTAGTCTGTAGTCATTGTATGCATAGTTACATGGACACATTGTCTAACTTAATTATAGGACAAGAAATATGCTGTGCCAACCCAGAAAATTTGTAACCTTTGGTATTGTCCATTTAGATGAACAGACTAATGAAGAAAAGCAAAATGATCAAGGTAGCTCTGTAAGATAAGATGTACTCAACCAACCCAAGAAAGGTAGTGGCCATTCTAATTCTCCCATTCAAAGGGGAGCCTGATTCATGGAGGTAGCTCAGGGAACCAAGTGAAAGACAAAGCAGGGGATCAGGTGATATATGTTGGTCAAATATAGTAATAGACTGTTCATGCAGCAGATATAGCAAGACAGAAGACTTGGTCTTAGCTTTGTCTTTTGCTGGCTTTGTGACCTTCAGAAAGTCCTTCACCTCCCCGAGTCTTATGTATATTTCATTTCCATAGAATAGCTTCAGCATCAGGTTACAACTGAAGTTCCTAGGCGATTTTAACTTCCCAAGTGAGGTACCATGGGTAGATTTATACAAGAAGTAGAATTGTTTGTTTCCTTGGCTCTAAGGACCCAGGTTAATCAATCAAAGCAAGGAAGTGTGGGGAGGAAAATTATTAAAGGTTTGTTGAAGAGATGTCTTTAGAAGGATTGATCAGTTGATATCCACTGTGTCTCCGCTTTGACTTTCTGAGGTGACAGTAACAGGTGGAGTTTGCTATTTTATGGCCCCCAGCCAGGTGAAGGAGGTCTCAGAAATTCCGTTTGAACTTCTGAAGTGATTTTGAAGTGATTTTCCTGATACTGGGATACAGACCTCCCACCTGAGAAAGCCAAAGTGGACCATCGGTTGCAGTTACTTAGAGTAGTGTTTTTCTAACAACAGATCTCAATTCGTCAGTGGGTCTTAAAATGGATCTGAATAGGATTAAAGAAGTGAAGTAGAACTTCAAGAGACAACTCAGTTTATTCCGACCAAAATGGACCCACGGGGACTGGATATATCTTCCCATTTTAAACAATGAGAATAAAGGACAAAATGGTGGTTTTCACATATTGCACCAGTTTACCACCGAGCTGTGCATGGACTGGGAGTTCAGAGCCTGGCTTCTGGCTTGAAGCTTTCCTGACTTGAAACAACAGAGACCAAGAATTCTGTTTTACTGAAGCAGCTACAACTTGCAGGACAGTACCAGAGAGACAGGAGGAATGCAGATTGAAAGCTCCAGAGGTCTGCAGAGAGTTCTCCTTAAGTCTTCGGCTGAATACTGATAGGCATATTTGTAAGAGGAAAGTATCTTAGGCCAGGGTAAGAACCACCAGAAAAGAAGAGGCAAAATAATACCAGAAGCTGATGCAGATCTAATTCATGGACCTTCTGATGTAGAATCCCCAGAAATGCATCGCTTTACTATCAGGCTGAATTTACCCTACTGTAAAGGTTGTTTGAGACTCACCCTTATAAAGCTTAAAAGCAAGCCTCAAAAGAATCCAATTCATTCCAAATAACTTACTTGCTCCAAAATAAAATTTAAAATTTGACAGTAATTAGAGGAATACAATACTGTAAAAATCACAGTTTCCAGCTCTTAATTTAAAAATGCCATGCGTATGTACATATATATGATATATATGTATAAATATTCTCAGCACAATGCCTACCACATAGTAGACATCTTAAAAACATTTATTCATCCAGACCTGAGGGCGACCTTAGTACATACACTATAGTGATCACAGTATCTATCAGAAGGATGCTTAATTTTCATCCCGATCATTGCAAAAGTATACCAGTATTTCAGTGTCTATCTTTCCGCCTTAGAATCTAAGCTCGCCTTTGCAGGGATTTTTGTCTGCTTTGTTTGCTAGCCAACTTCCAATACTTGCAATAGTACCTAGCACATAGGAGGTCCTCAGTAAATATTTGTTGAATGAATGAATGAATGTGGTTTGCAGCCAGAACCTCTTCCCAGAGACGTACCTTCCCCTTCTTCTCCCAGACGAATAATCTGGATCTCAGGGTATATCAAATCTTCCTCTTTGGGATGTACTGGAAAGAAAAGACATTTTCAAGGCTGTTTCTGTTAGTATTAAGGTACTACAGATGCCTCTTCCTAAGCATCACCTCCACTCTTCTTGGACACACAATAGAACAATTATCTGGGAATATCTGGATTTGGGACACTTTAGGGAGTCCAGGGGCATTTCCAAGGGCCAAAAGCATATTACCTTTCCATGGCTGAGGCCAGGAACAGCTTCCTAGAGGGGAACCCTCACCATCGACATACAACCGCTGAAGCTCCACCTGGGCAGGGCAAATGGAATAGGAGGACTCTCCTGGCGCCGGAGTGGGAGGGATCCTGTGAGACACAGAAACACATAATAATCCCTGGAACATTGTAACATGCAGGACAGTGAGATGCCCAGGGAGAGAGGCAGAGGAGAAAGAGGATTTGGGGAGAGTCAGCAGCCAAGAGGGTACTGGAAACCCTGGATGGTTTAGAGTTTCAATAGGTCTATATAGAGTGAGATTGTTCTTTTGAAACAGACCCTGGAGCTCTGGAAACAAGGATAGACAGTCTCTGACATCATAGTAACAATCATTGTCTCATAGTTGGAATGATCACTCTTGGTTGGTTAAAAAATAGTGGCTTCCCAGCCTGGGCAGCATAGTGGGATCTTGTCTCTACACAAAATAAAATGAAGTTGGCCAGGCATGGTGGCATGCGCTAGTAGTCCTAGATACTTGGGAGGCTGAGGTGAGAGGATTGCTTGAGCCTGGAAGGTCGAGGCTGCAGTGAGCTGAAATGATGCTATTGCACTTCAGCCTGGGTGACAGAGTGAGATCCTGTCTCAAATATACATATACTACCTTCTTCATCATCAGGAAAGAGTGATTAAATGTCTTCACTTTATCGTTGGCCTGGTGAGGTGACTCATACCTGTAATCCCAGCACTTTAGGAAGCTGAGGTGGGCAGATCACTTGAGGCCAGGAGTTCCAGACCAACCTGGCCAATATGGTGAAACCCTGTCTATACTGAAAATACAAAAATTAGCTAGATGTGCTGGCTCATGGCTGTAATCTCAGCTACTTGGGAAGCTGAGGCACAAGAACTGCTTGAACCTGAGAGGCGCAGGTTGCCGTGAGCTAAGATCACACCACTGTACTTTACATTGTAATGTGTGTACAATCCAAGAAGGAATTAGACATAATCCATACTCCAATTCCTAAGACACTGGCATAGAAAGAGGAAGAGGGCCATATTTTCCAAACGAAAGTTAAGGACATAAAGTTGAATGAGCATATATGCATGCATGGTGCAAAAAGAAGATTATTAGAAACGTAGACTTCCCTGGAAAACCTAGAAAATTTGAAGAAAATCTAGTCTGTAGTCATTGTATGCATAGTTACATGAACACATTGTCTAACTTAATTATAGGACAAGAAACATGCTGTGCCAACCGAGAAAATTTATAACCTTTGGTATTATCCATTTAGATGAATAGACTAATGTGAAATAAGAAATCTATTATTTTGTATGTTGCAAACTATGAGCTGACAAGCACAGTTCTAGAAAGCTTCATTTTTCACCAATTGAAGGAATGTGAAAATGGGGGTATCTAGCCACAGGGCCAAAGAGAAATAACTTGACCTAATTTTGTAACCCCACAGTTTTGCATATTGTGTACTTGGGAAACAAAAAAGGAACTGGTAGAAGCTGAGGTCTCACCTGGTTTCATCTCCCAAGAAACGATCTCCTGCAAAATAAAGCAAAGATGCATTTGTGTCAACACAGAAAGCCCTTCTCAAATACTTCGCATACAGGAGCCATCTAAGAGAAGTCATCAAGAAAGTAAATTCAAACACCTGCCCAGTCCTGAATTTTCTTGAAAATGATGTGAAGAAAGATTGAACAAAGCAGATAACTTGTTGAGGCCAGGACTGCCCACTCCTGAGTTAAATATGCAGTTGTTTGAGAATTTATTAAGACTCAAGTCTGTGTTGAAATCCCTCAGGAAATATTACATATAACCAAATTGTTACTTGCAGAGTAGTGTGCTGTGGGTGAACTTCGAGGAACATCTGTGGCCATGCCCAGAGGAGCATCAGTGTCTGACTCAGGCTCACTAAGGAGATTTGGCCAGAGATCCAAAACTCCCTACCTCCAACCCAATACAGGACACACAGAAGGTACTGTCAGGAATCTGGAAAGTTGAAATTGAATTAAGAGACAGATTTGAAGCATGCGGGTAATTATTCTAGAGCTGAAAAAGGTTCTGTGCCTGTCTTCTACGCCAGGTTTCTTGGCATCCAAAGCTAGCCTGAACTGGGCTGAGGTGAGAAGCCTTTGGAAGTATGCAGCAGACAGTGCCCGGGACAAACGTCTCCGTAAGGCAGGGGAGGCTGACCTGGGGAGAGAGGGACTGCTGGAGCATAAGACAGCAGGCTCAAGCTCCGACCCAGAAAAGTCTCTTAGGGGAGAGAAGGATAGAAATTAGCCAGCTCTATTCTCAGTCATTTCTGCAGAGCCCTTCAGTTCATTTTGAATCTCCATTTATGGTGGATTTGGGATAGGCTGAAGTATTCAACTGGCCAGTCTGTATGAACCAAGAAACCGTCTCAGTAAACAGTTCAGATAAAGTTTTTGGAACTTCACATTAAAAATTCCGCTCTTCCTCCCTTTCACTTGATACTTAATCAGACTAGATATGAGCAGCTCTCATTCACAGCCTCTATTTGCAAAACTACCCCTTAAGGACGGGGCAGACGTGAGTGTGTGTGAGCGATGGGGGTGGCGACTTGGGAGTGGTGGCCTGGTGGCTACTGAGGCTGGCTGCATGCTGAGTTCAGGGGAAGGGACGGGGCAGGAACTCTGGCAAAGAGAAGATCACAAACCTGGCTTCCTCTGGCGCCAGCAGTGAAACAGCAGGACCACAGCCAGGAGAAGAGCGCCGAGCAGACCCCCAATGGCTCCCGCGGTGACAAGGCCATCTCTGTTGCCTGGAGTCACTAAGGGAAAAGGACCTGTGTGAACCTTAGTGGAGAGGTTCAGGGCTTGGGATTGCCTTTTCCTCAGCTTGGTTGGGTACTGAGCCCTGGAAGAGAGAAGAATCTGAAGGACTAGGACTCATAAAGAAACCTTGGGCCGGGTTATGGCCAAAAAAGCTCATCGTGGGTGGGCCAGGGCCTGAGTGGAAAAAGAAAGAGCTCCCTCTACCTTCAGTGAATCATTTTAGAAACTAACAATTTAGAGGAAATCCTAATGCATTCTGGTAACCTGACTTCCTATGAATTCCCCCCAGACACCTGGAGAGCTACCATGGGACTGTGGCTTGGCAGCACCTAACTTAGGAAACAAACTGTCCGATAAAGAATGAAAATTCATCACTGATTAGGGCACCAAGTGAACGAACAGAGACTCTGTTTTAAAGCTCTGCATTAAAAAAGCACATTGGAACACACAATGAAATGACATCAGCTTCCTTTCTCATAGAAGCCCATGCCTTGTGTGCTCTGAAGGGCAGGAGAGAAAAGAACTGATGGGAAAGTACAAACAATCAATAAATTGTTAGGGGCTTTTGATATTTCCATTAGGGATTAGGGGTCCATTCTCCTCTCATCCACAGAAAGGGAGGTTTCATTAAGTTTACTCATTTATACAGCAGATATTTACTGAGGCTACCCTGTGCCAGGCACTGACCTAACTCTTGAAGATATAGCAGTGAATAAGACAGTAAAGTCCCTGTTCTTCTGGAGTTTATAACCCAGGGAGGAGAGACAAGCAATAAACAAATAAATAAATTTATACCATGCCCTGTGGTGATGAGCTAAAGAGCAAAAGCAGGAGAGAGGGACAGAGGTTGGGGGCTGGTGCTTTTCATACGTATTCTTGGTCCCCAGGAAAACTAAATTCAGACCTCAGACACAGGTGCCACAGCATTGACAGAGAACATGCAGATAGTAGAACAACAGCAACACTGACCATGATTCCCATTTATTTTCATCTATGATTTCTGGCACAGAGGGGCCATTGGCCAGGAGTGGCGGGTGACATTTCTGACATTATCCTTCCCTTTCTGACAACACCAACAAACCTGCCCTTTGACCTATGAGTGGTTCTACCTATAGACAGTATTCAGTGGGCAGCCAGCTCAGCCTCCCAACCACAACAGCTGAAGGAGTAGGGTGGAGAGCAGGGGAGAAATCTAAGGACAGAGAAGCCTGGCCACTACATCCTGTATCAAATCTTTCCCCATTGCCTGCTGGGGCAGTCTTTCCCCATTGCCTTCTGTGCAAAATCAGAATCAGCCATGTCCAGGTCTAGAATTCTGGACTCAATGGGCAGAAAGCAAGTTACTCTCTCTTCCTGGTAACCCTGTTTCCTAGAAGAAATGGCTACTTTGGGGAAAGTAATTGAAATCTGCCTCAGTTAGAAAGGCACAGATTCTAAATCCAGATTGGTTAGAATTCCTGCTCCTCCATTTACTCACTGTGTGGCCAGGGAAAATTATTTAATCTCCCTTTGCCTCAGTTTTCTCAGTGAACTGGGGCTTATTGTGACTATTTACTGTTGTAAATGAGTTAATGCATGTAAAGTGCTTTGAACAGTGCCTGGCACCTAAGTGTTATGTCTAGGCAAGTACTAGTTTTTATTTATTGTCCTAATACCATGCCCTAGGCCCTCAGGAACTTCAGGCTGCTCTCTGATTAGCTTAGAGGACACCTCCATAGGTTAAGCTTGCTCCCCATAGTCATACCCCAGACAACCTCAGTCCATGAATTGAATTGTGCCGTTCTCCCCCAGATTCATATGTCGAAACTCTAACCCCAATGTGATGGTATTTGGAGATGGGGCCTTTAAGAGATATTAGATTTAGATGAAGTCATGAGGGTGGGGCCCCAATGATAGGATTAGTGCCCTTCTAAGAAGAAACACCAGAAAGGTTGTCCTGCTCTCTCTCTCTGCCACTTGAGGACACAGCAAGCAGGTAGCCTTCTGTAAGCCAGAAAGAGAGCCCTCACAAGAATCTAAATTATGTTAGTGCACCAATCTCAGACTTCCAGCCTCTAGAACTATGAGGAAATACACTTCTGTTGTTTAAGCCCCCCAGTACATGGTATTTAGTTATGGCAGTTCAAGCTGACCAAGACAGCCCACCTTAGCCCAGTGCATGTGGCTAGAGCAGAGTTTCTCCCTTGTTATAAATTCTCCTATTTCTAAGCACAGGGATTTTGCATAAAGTCCATGAATAAAAAAGATTTAGGATACTCATTCTAAATTCATATTCATATTCCAGTAATATTCCATCAAATATTACTGGATCCTTGATGTCCGTTTAATCTCTGTTTTCTTAACAGATGATCATTAAATGACATTAAATCATTAAAATGACATTAGCTCAGCCTCAGTCCTTCTCTGCTGGGAATTACACCCTTTGTTGTTCCCGGACTGAGAGGCAGACTGCTGTGGCACTTAGTTCTGGGGAAACACCTCAGTCTCTTAACCTGGTAGGGCCTGCTTGATCACAAGACTTGCCTCGAGGGAGCTGAAGATAAAGTTGAGCAGCATGTGGGCGGTTAGCATAGCAACCCCTTGCCAGAGCCTCTGACTAAACTGTTCAGGTTTATGTCTCTGACTGTCAGAGCTAACCTCATATAAACAGTGCGGCTGTCTGCTTATTTAGCATGGTTGACAGTGGATATTTGACTGCGTGGTATTTCTTTGGAGAGCTTTGACATGGCTCTCTGTGTCTCAGAGCTAAATGACTGCATCAAGGTTCAAATCTAGGCTGCCATGTGTAAGCTCTGTGGCTTTATACAAATCACCAAACCTTTCTGAGTTGTTCTTTCCCTTCTGTAGAATGGAGATAATAATATCTTCAGAGGATTGTTATGATGATCAACAGAGATGATATGCACAACGCTCACTTATTCAGCAGATGTTTACTGAATGCCTGAGTCAAGCACTATTCCAGGCACTCAGGATACAACTGTAGTAAAAAGAAGGATCCACCCGCATGAGGCTGATATGAGACACCTGGGAGAAGGCAACAAACAGATAAGGGCATTCATGGCCTGGGAGTTGGTGATAAGTGCTGTGATGGGAGAATTAAGCAGGACCAGGAGAGCGAGAGCTGGAAAGAGGACTGCCATGTTACAGAGCGTGGTTGGGAAAAGACTGACAAAGTGAGTAGAGTTCTGGAGGAAGTGAAGAAGTGAGCATGAGGATATCAGGGAGGTTGCAGTGTAAAGGCCCCGAGCTGGGGTTGGGCCTGGAAAGTTTGAGGAAGAGACAGAGGGTCAGCATGGTGGCAGTAGAGAGGGCTAGACAAAGTGGTAGGAGATGAGGCCAGGGTGACAGGAGGGTTAGATCATGCAGGGCCTGGATGATCTAGGTGAGTCATTGAGAGGGTACTGGCTATCTGCTGAAGGACATGGGAAGCCAAGGAAGGATGCTAAGCTGAAAAGTAACATGATCTGACTTACTTACGATTTAAGAGTTCCCTCTGATGCTGCATTGAGAATAGACATATAGAAGACCAGTTAGGATGTCATTGCCATGATCCAGGCAAGGAATGCTGGTGACTTGGACCAGGTGGTAGCAGTGGAGACTGTGAGAAGTAGTCAGATTCTGGCTGTATTTTGAAGGTAGAGCCATTAGCACTTGGAAGTGGATAAAATATGGGGGATGAAATAAGAAGAGGCAAGGCTGATGCTTAGATTTTTGGCCTGAGCAACTAGGGGAAGGGAGTTTTGTATTTACTGAGAGGAGGATTTAGGCAGGAACCTTCTGAAGTAAAATCCAAGAGCTTGGTTTTAGATGAGTTGTTTGAGATGTTAACTAGCTGTTCTTATGCACTTGATTTAAATACTTTAACATATGAGCCTTGAGTTCAGACTTGAGGTCTAAGTTTTAGTTCAGTTTGGGAGTCACACATAGATAGAAATCATAAGGGCATTTAAAGTTACGAGACTGAATGAGATGTTATGGAAAGTGGGCACAGCTTGTCTGAGAACAGATCCCTGGTAGTTCCCAAAATGTAGACGTTGGAAATATTATAAGGATCAGGAAAGAAAACTTTAAAAAGTGTCTGGTGAATAGGTAAAATACCAATAAGTTATGTCCCAGAAATTGAGGAGGAAAATGTTTCGAGAACAAGGGAAGGATCAATTCTTTCAAAAGCTGGAGGTAGATCAAATAAAATGAAAACAGTTTTCTACTGGCCTTAGAAACATGGAGATCATTAGCCATTTTGGTGGAATGAGGCAAACCTGGTGGTGATGGGTTTAAGAAAAAAATAGATGAAGTAAGGAGAGTGAATAGAGACAACTCTTTTGAGTTTCATTATACAGGAAAGCAGGAAAATTGAACTTTGCAGTAACTTAGTAAAAGCTTGCTTTTTTCCTTTTTCTTTTCTTTCTTTCACTTTACTTTTTTTTTCTTTTTGAGAGCCAGGGATGCAACTAAACCTGAGATTGAGAAGCGATTGAAGTCCAGTAGAGACCATTTCCTTAGTGCCAAGGTAGCTGAGTGAGAACATAGCTTGGCCCAGTGTGGCTTCTCGGGGATGGAGGAAGAGACGTAATTGAGCTAAAACTGTGAGATCCCAAAGTAAGGCTTCTCTTTTCAATGGACAAAAGTGGGCTCTGTATCTGCTCTCCATGCTTTTGAGTTTCCTGACCCATATACAATTCGGCTGCCGAGAATCCTTCAGGATTCTATTACGGTAATGAAGTCAAGGAATGCCTTGTGCTTTTGTTTCTGTGGACCTGAAGCTGCTGGTCTGATGTGTGTGGATGATTGACTGAAAGGAGAGGTGTAGTTGACACTGTAGGGTGACACTGTGGGGTGACAGAGCTGTGCCCCACCCAGAAACACTGCTGACAAGATAAGGCTCCTCTTGAAGATTAACACGCAATGGATCCAAGCACGGAGAAACAAAATCACCTCCAAAAGGCAAAATGGCTCCCGGCCAGGCCAGCATTACCTCACTACAGGACCTTACTCTGACCTGACTGAGTTATTAATATTCTAATGGAAGAAATTGTTTATCACAGTGGAGTGTGGCAAAATGGAAAGACAAAAAGCAGAGTCACAGGATAATGTTCTCTATCCCCACCCTTAATTTGAGGAGGTCTGCTGAGAGTAAATAATTAGGTCAGCAGAGAGAAAAACTCACCTCTCACAGTAACGTTCAGCACCACGCTCTGGACAGGGCCGTAGCTGTTGTCTGCTGTACAGTAGTATCCTCCTGCGTGGCTCTCTCCGATGGCAGGGAGCTCCAGCTCTGCTCTCGGGGAACGCTGAATTTTCCTCCCCAGACACTCCTGTGTGTCCTCTCGGTGCCAGGAGAAAGTGGTGTCCCCTGTGCCTTCAGCCATGGAGCAGACAAGGACCAGTGTCTCCCCTTCAACCGCCTGGCCCCCTGAGGGCTGGCTCTCCAGGAGCACCCCAGACACAGGGATCCCTATGTGAAAATGAGACCACAGGTGGGGGGCCACATGTAAGGGAGGGCAGGGCTGGGTAGCTGGGGTGTTGAGCAGGGTCACTTTTTATGTGACTTCAAGATATACTCTTCAGCAGGTACTAGCATGGTGGCCAACAGACTATGAATTTAGGGCTGAGAATATCACTAAACGTAACAAGCTTTCCATCCTGATATACAAGGCCCCAGGAAAGAAAAAAGGACTAACCCAGAGGAAGCATTTGGGTTTTGTCTGACATCTTGGCTGGAGGTCTGAGTTGTTTTGAGGGAGAGGTAATAGCAATAGTGGCCATCGTGGCACTTGGCTGGACCACATCTGTTTTTAAAAGTCCTAATTTGGTACCTAAGTGATATTTATTGGGTCTATCTATCTCCTCTTCTCTTCTGCTGTACACATCATCAGCACCCACATTGTTTGTAGCTACTGAATAGGAAAAGGTAGATGCTTGCCTAGCATCTAGATCTAGTATTCTAGAATCTGCCAACTCCCTAGCAGGGAACCTTGTTTTCCTGTTTTGTTTTGTTTTCCATAGCTCTCAAACCTAACTCCATGAGTCAGCTGTGATTCTGAAGTGATAAGAGTTTCAAAGGAAGACTGAGTTTTTAGGAAAATGGAGATAGAAAAGTAGTCATGTATTTCTTGTATTATAGTACTTCATTTTCTGGCCTAAGTCTGGTGCCTCTGTCAGGATGATAAAATCCACCTCTTCTACATAGTCCCCATGCCTACAGAGCCCAAGGGGCAGAGAGAGGCAGGGAAGATACCTGGCTCTCCAACACTCACGTTGCACGTGGATCTGTAGCGAGGGACTACGCTTGTGGACGCTACCGATCACTGTTTGAGCACCGCACCAATAGGATCCCGAGTTTTCTCTCCAGATGGTTGGGATCTGGAGTTCCGGGGACTTGCTCCAGTTTGACAGGATGACCCTGTCATCTCTGAAGAAGATGAAGTGAAGTGGGGTGTCCGACCGCTCTGGAGGAAGCTGTGTTTCACAGCTCAGGTTTATAGAACTCCCCTCTGTAGGCTGAGAGTCTGTGACTTTCAGCTCTGGATGTGGAAATAGTTCTAGAGAGAAGACGTAAATCAATTTCTGAGCACAAGAATATTTAGCACTCCGTGAGAGACAGGTTTGGATGCTCAGTCCCAGGATACTTCAGACACACAGCAAGACAAACTTATCAAGCCCTCTACCACATTTTTTCTTCCACAGGTTTATTCACATCCAATTACCCTACTTTCTCTGCCTCTTAGAGGACTTGTGCCTCTCATCTATTCAGAGTTTAAATAGTAATCCATAAATTCCTTCCTTACATGCTCAGTTTCCTGACCCTGACATTACTAACAAAATTTATATGAGGTGAAAGATTTACCTTTAATTTTAATAATTTTGTTGTTTGATTTAAATACATTTTTGTCTCCATATCCAAAGCATTGATAATTGCCACTGTTATTTGAACTTGCTTGTGGGATAAGAAAATCCGAGCTTTTATTAGATTTGAAAAGAGTTTTTTCATTCCAAGTGTATTTCACAGCAGTCAATTTCTCGTTCCTCCTTTTCTTGCATCTCAGAACCAATGTGTCACCTTCAAACACAGAATATGGGGCCTGCAGGATTAAGGAGACTGGAAAAGACACAGAGAGAAGAGATGGTCATTCAAAGCACTCCTGCTGCCTCCTCCTTCTGTGTCTCTTAAATTACAAAGGTTTTATTGTTTTCTTCTTTCTTCCACAGGATGCAATCTCCTGATCTAAGCTCAAAAACTCCTTCTAAATCAGTGTACCATGCTTCAGGTACAATTCCTAAATGAATCCCAGACATGTCTATTTAAGCATTCACGGTCAGATTCCAAAGATAAGGATTCTAATGTGGAGAATAAAAGCTGAGAGGAGGTGTGATCAGAATCCCTGACATGATAGAGTATGGCAGAATTTAACACCAACCTGCTCACCAAGTCTCAGAGCAGGAGCTATGAAGGAAGTAGCACTTGGAGAACTATGCACGGAACTCTTCCGATGCATTGGAGTGTGTTTTATAGCAGAAGTCTTGTCAGTGACACTGTCTAGGTATCAGGGACCGTGGATGTGGTCCTATGGAAATTCCATGCTGTTCAGATTGTAATGATTTTAATTTGAGATTAGCTATAACCCTTCTGTCTTAGATGACTGTGTTGAAAGGCTACTACTGTAGACCATGACCTTGGAAGTGACAAAAATCCTTATCAATCAGGTAAAACTGGACAGGAGGAAATGTGGGAACTTGATGCTAAGCAGAAGGAAAACTAGGAATGAGGAGGGCACACATCACAATGGGTGGGGATGAAAAGCCTCAGATTGGAGATTTCCCACCTCTGAGCTCCTTTGATGGCACTTTTGTCCTCAGAACATTTATGTGTGTTTAATTTCTCCCTTATGAGGCCATTAAAGCCCTGCAGGGCAGGATCTGAGACGGCTTCATTTTTGTGATCCCTAAAGCTAACTCATTTCCTTGACTGTGTAAGTGGTGTGTGGGGATGGTGTGTGGGGATGTCAATTAATATTAACCATTTAAACTCAAGTTTCAATAGTAGTTTGAAAAACATTTGTAGGCATTGAGGGAGAATGTGAAACTGAAGTAGCTGGGATTGAGTGTTAGGAATAAAAGACCCCAGTTTATAGAACTTCCAGGGAGCAGAGATAAACCGAACCCATTTATAAAGTTTCAACTAATTCTTCTTTCTCACCTGAAGAAAAGACCAAGAGCACAGGGTCACTTTGTGGGGAGCCCTGGGCCTGGCATCTGTAATTTCCGGATTGCCAAACCTCGAGGGTGTTTCCTGGGGTTAGGGTTGAAGTTTCTCCCCTACCGTATAGACGATGCCATTTTGTTTTCTCTGTTGCATTGAAGTGAAATCCATTGCAAGTCAGAGCCACTCTGTCTCCTTTGAAGACCGTGGTCCATGGAGGATGGAGGGAAATCACAGGCTTGTGTGCAGCTGCTGAGGAGGAAAGAGTAATGGGTCTGAGGTGGAGGTGCCTGCAGTCCCAGCTGCAGTGGCTTGTGTGGGTTACACTGGAGGACATGGCATGGGAGATCCCTAAGAGGTCCAAGGACGACTTCTGTTTCCCCAGGTTGCAGGTGAGCTGTGTTCACCTCCTCCTGGGTGCAGTGGCTGCTCAGTGGTCTGCAGCAGCAGATTGCCCTTTCAGAAGGAGGGCAGCTCTAGCAGGATCCACTCAGCAGTGATGGATGATGGGAGACTCACAAACTCTCTTACTTGTTTCAGTGAACCAGGTCTTCAGGTAGATAGTTGGAAATTGCATTTCTCCTGGGCTCCCACCTGGGATCCTGGTGTTACAGAGACCTCTCTGAGATGAGTTCTTGTGTGTGAAGGGTACCAGAAAATGCCATCTCCAGGTTTGTCTCTTTGGCATATAAATTATTTTGAGCTAAAAGCCATGGAGAATCACCAGAAATAGGAAAAGTTCTAAAAACAAGGCACACGTTTTCCTTTATAAATGAAAAAAGAAATTTTCACTTATAAATGAAATTTCCTTTTGTAAATGTGTCTCCCTCTCCCATACCAGGAAGAGGAATGCGCTTAACAACTTTCCTCAATAGAGAAGCCATTCACTTAAATATTGTTTAAACCTTGTTTCACTTAAATATTCACTTACACCTTGTTTACCGTGGTTTTCCTAGTCAACCTGCCATACCTTTTCCCCCACACCCGGAAGCCCAAAACTCCTTTTCCTTTGTTTAAGATGGTTACAGGCTGAGTATACCTTATTCAAAATACTTGGGAACAGAAGGGTTTTGGAGTTCGAGTTTTTTTTCAGATTTTGGAACATATGCATAAACCAAAAATCTGAAAGCTGAAATGCTCCAGTGAGCATTTCTTTTGATCCTCATGTCAGTGGTTAAAAAATATCAGATTTTGGAGCATTTTGGATTCCAGATTTTTGAATGAGGGATATTCAACCTGTGTCAACCTCAATCATCTGGCTGCCTCCTTGAGCCATGTTTTTCTTTGCAAACTCCCCTGTGTATGTACACTTGTTAATCTGTCTTTTAGCAAGATAATTTATGGACCCTAGAAAATTAACCTGTAGGAATCAAGAGAAAACTTTTTCTTTGCCCTCTTAAGGTCTGCTGAAAAATCAACTGATGAAAAGCACATTCATAGGAGAAACGGCCTACAAATTTATCAACATGTACAGGGAAGAATTACAGAGTAATTCCCCAAATATGCCAGTGGGGCCCAGATACTTACCCAGCCATTTTTAGAGGGGTTTTGGGAGAGGGATAATGTAGGTAACTCTTTTGAGGGGCAACACATAATGACTAGGGTGAATTAATGGATAAATGGTTTTATTTGGAAGCTGAATGAGCCTGAAGGAGAGACATTTTCTTATGATAGGGTCTGTTCATCTGTGGTTACACCCTTCAGTCTTCTTTTCTACAGTAGAGGATGACAACAGGGAGGGGAGGATAAAACAACTGTTCTTACTGGTGGGTTGGTTTGGTCTTTGGGTAGATAGGGGACAAGTTTCTTCTGTTGATCTTTTAGGGCCTTTAATTCAAAATACCCATTATACCAGGTGGCCATATTTGGGGGTGAAATATTTTGGTTCTCATCAAAACTAAGATAGGTAGAGAGAAATTTATCCCTTCTCTACATGTAGCATGAACATGAGATGGGATAGGAGTTGTAGATGGAGTGAGTATAGAAATCTGAGGGTCAATTAGACAGTTATGAAAAGGAGCTTAAGTAACATTTTTACTGACAAGAAGTATGCATGGGAGAGGTGGGCAGGCTGTGTCTGACATAAGAAATGTACCCAGATAGCTGCAGAAAATAAGAGTACAGGGAGCTAGATGCTCCTAACTCCCCAGACCTCAAAGACACTCTCTCATGACACTAAAATACTAACCCTACATGAAATTAGGCCATACAGTCTTTGAAGCATTGGTGTATAGAAACTGAAGAATGCAAGGATAATACAAATTAAAAATAAGAGGCTTAATTCTCCCTGCCAAAAGTAAGAGACTTCTCCTCCTCTTTCAGAATTTCTTTCTCTGTCCTTTTCAAATGCATATACATGTTTACATTGGTTAAATAAGCCTATTGCCTGACTCCCAACCCAGGAAAGTCCTGGGAACCACCTTTTTGAATACAAGCGTCTAGAGAGATAGTTACCCTGTCTGTCAGCTCCTATGGGAGGGCAAGTACCTAACTTTGACGGGCTTTCTCCAATGCGCAAAACTACCTGCTGTTGTAAAGATAGAAGTTTGTTTCCTCATGTTTTCACTCACAGGCGGGTGATGCACAATGAGAACACTTGAGCACAGGGAAGAGAACAACACTCACTGGGCTAGGTGGGGAGGAGGGGGGATGGAGACAGTAAACCACCATGGCATGTATGTACCTATGCAGCAATCCTGCAGGATGCGGGATGTGCACATGTACCCCAGAGTACAATAAAAAAAATTAACTCAAAATAGATAAATAACCTAAATATAAGAGCTAAAACCATAGAACTCTTTAAAGAAAAGACGAGAATAAGTCTTCATGACCTTGGATTTAACAATGTGTTTTTAAACATGACACCAAAGCATAAAGAACAACAACCACCACCACAAAGAAGTTTGTTTCCCTTCAGTTACTTAAGACAGGTTGCCTCCCCAGTTACCAGGATAAAGTTAAAATGAACTAGTGGGAGAAAAGGTGTTGTCAGGCCCTCTTCCTTGAGGCCTAGTTATTGTTTACCTTGAAAACATGTATGAATGGGCTGTATCTAACTGGCTGTTTGAGGGGGTGGAATTCCTTTCTGTCTTCACAGCTTCTTAGCGGATTGCTTGTGATGCTCATCTTATTCTGGCTTATTGCTTATTCAATAATACAAATGTTTCCTTTCTCTTCTACCCTTGTGGAGAGGATTTCAGAGTTGGGAGAAGATTCTGTTTTTAATTATATATCTTCTAACAAGAAGTGGTTGCTGAGGCTCTTTTTAATCTGAATGCTTATTTTCTGAGTTTTGTAGCTCTGACTTTGTGCCGGCTAACAATAACAGCTTACAACACAAATTATTCACTGTTGGAAACATCGCTCAAACAACCTGCCCAATTTAATGCTACTGTCTAGCCTTCTCCAAGATCAGTGCCTTGGTAGACTAATCTTTCAATGGGTATACAAATGAAAATTGATTGCTATTTTAGATTCTGCTGAAGATGCGGTAATTCATAAACTTGGTAAAAGTTATGTGGAACCGCTGCCCTGATGACTCACAAAATCACTAAAGAGTACGAGCAAGACCTATTAACAGTTACAAAGGAGAAATCAATCATAGGGAAAACACTTGTTTGGCATTCAAAAGTCGGTCCCAATGCTCTTCTCTCTAACCTGTCACTCACTAATGTGTTTGAAAAAATGAAGTACTAACTTTCCCACCTACAGGATCTAGGTCTGAATAAAGGAATGTCAGAGAAGTGATGTGAGGGATGGACTAAGGAATAGGGATTCTGGGAAAAGGTTTTTCTTTTATTTGAAAGAAGACATGCACACTGGGAGCTCTTTCACAGCTTCACTTCCCTACTCCACCTGCCTCCCCACTTCTCCCCACTTTCCGCCTTGAACAAAGTCATGATGGCTGGAGCTGTGGCAGCTACCACATTTTTTAAAAAATCGATATTAGATTCATGCTTTGTCCTACAAATTGCCTACAGTAATGTAACTTCTGTTTTCATTTGTATTAATTTTAAACAATAAAATATTTGTATTTCATTTGTATTAACCTTAAACAATACAGTCTCAATTTTGGGAATTGCTATTTACTACAAAATTTTAAATAGAATTACTTTAAATTATTTTCTTCTTGGAAACTTTTTTACTTAGACAAGGACTGTCTACATTTAAGGACTTATAGAAAAATGCCTTTTCAAGTTTAAAACTTTAAACCTTCTTGCCTTTGTCCAGAAGAACTTCCCAAATAGATCTTTTAGCTACAGCTAAGTGTGAAGAAAATGCCCTTTCTGTGTTTGGGAGTAAAAAAAAAGAAAACTAAAATAACCCAACTGCATGTTTTACATGAAGAAGCTAAATGTTCTGTTGGGTAAGGTAAAACATCTGTGTGTCTCTGCAGACTTTTTTTTTTTTTTTTTTTTTTTCAGTCAGAATCTCGCCCACCCAGGCTGGGTGCAGTGGCCTCATCTCAGCTTATTGCAACCTCTGCCTCCTGGGTTTAAGCAATTCTCTTGCCTCAGCCTCCCAGGGAGCTGGGATTACAGGCACACAACACCATGCCCAGCTAATTTTTTGTATTTTTAGTAGAGATGAGGTTTCACCATGTTGGCCAGGCTCGTCTTAAATTCCTGACCTCAAGTGGTCCACCCGCCTCAACCTCCCAAAGTGCTGGGATTACAGGCACGAGCCACCATGCCCGGCCTCTGCAGACACTTTTTAAAAATAAAATTCTGTCTTTAAAAATTTGGACTGAATACCCTATGTCTTCGGTGGAGATGGGGCTGTGTTTCTGCTGAGAGACTAGAAATCCCTACCAGCCATGTTCCTGAGAAGCAACTGGATGTAGGGCAGTTGCAACTTAGTCAATAGGTCTTCTACTGGGGGGAAGGAGAATTTATTTCCTTTGTTGTGTGCAACTAGACTCTTCTTTGCTTTGAGGAAGCTGTCCCTGCTATGTGCAGGTGGCCGTGTGGCCAGGAAGGGACATAACTTTTCAGGGCCTTCGTGTGTTTGGGACTGAGTTGCTGGGCTCTGAGATTAACCACATCTGTAGCTGTAGCTAATACCAGGCACTTTTTTTGTATTTCATTTCCCCATTCTAAAACAATTAGCAAAGTCTGCCAAGTTATAATCTTGTCCCAGGAAGGATGTGTAGGAAATTGTGGCCATGGCACTGATGAGGGGAAGAACAGCAGAGTTAGGAGCTGCAAGTGACAGTGCACCTCAAGGGGACAAAGGCCCTCTCTTGGCTCCAACAGCTCCTAGGGTGCTCTACAGGAATGGCCAAAACACCCATGAGGTGGCTCCCTATGGAGGATGGGACTTTCTGCTGACCAGTAGGATAGATGGTGACTCACAGTCATCATGATTTGAGCTATTAACAGAGAGGTGTGTCTCCATGGGATGCGGAAGTTTGGGATAAATTTGTTACACATGGTTAGCGGAAAAGCTGCTGGAGACCCCGCCTGCCCCTCTGAAGTATTGGCTCATTTCTTCCTTTTTCCTCTCGGATGCTATGCATTCCATCAGGTTTGGCCAGAATCCCATATCAGGTGGGGTGGCAGCTCCTCCTCCTCTGGATTCAGTGATGCATATCTCAGACCCTGCCATGTTTATCCAGCACAATGGCAGTTTTCATTTAAGAGAGTAACCCCCAAATAACCTGATTCTTAGAGTCTGGGTCACCACATCAGCAGGTGTTTCCACATTTCTGTAGCCCTCAGGAAAAGGATGAAAGGGACAACAAGGACTCTGGTAAGTATTTGAGATAAAATATAGTGATTAGGTTATCTAGAGACACAACAGAGCAAAGAAAATAAGGACTTACCAGATTGGCCACAGACTGGAGCTGCAAGAGAGTTAAGAGCCAGCCATCAGCACAGGCAAAGAGTCCCAAACTATTCACCCTGAGAGCCCCACACTCATATGCTACTTCCAACCAAGAGAAAGAGAAACATGCTCTGTTCCACCCATCCCAGAGAAGTCGGGGATCACCACGGCCAGACGCTCAGGCTGTGGACTCAGACAGTGTGGTTTGAATTTTAGCTGTATGACCCGGGACAAACCACATGAACTTTCAAGTCTTAGATTTCTCATTTGAAAAATGAGGCTCATAAAAGCGACCTCATAATATTACTGTAATGAGTTAGATTAATAAGATTTCAATTAATGGCTGCTGTCATTAATTTTTTAGTATGGGGCTGCTGCTAACCCCTCTTCTCTTGATTCAGAACACTTATTGTCATTGTTAATTTGGAACTCAAAATAAGACAGACAGTAGGGGGTAGTAGTCAAAAACATAGTTTCCAAAGTTAGATTATGGGTTTGAATCCTGACTCTGCTACCGTCCTAGCTGCATAAATCTTAGGAATAAGACCAACATCTTTGTGCCTTCATTTCCTCATTTGTAATTGGGAGTTATAAGAGTTCCACCTGATCAATTGTTAGAGAATTGGATAAATTTATACATGGGGTACCCTTAGAAAAGTGAAATGTAAGGCCAGGCGCAGTAGCTCACGCCTGTAATCCCAATGAAAGGTCTAGGCGGGTGGATCACAAGGTCAGGAGTTCAAGACCAACCTGGCCAAGGTGGTGAAACCCTGTCTCTTCTAAAAATACAAAAATTACCCAGGCATGGTGACGGGTCCCTGTAATCCCAGTTACCTAGGAGGCTGAGGCAATAGAATCACATGAACCCACGAGGTGGAGGTTGCAGTGAGCTGAGATCATGCCACTGCACTCCAGCCTGGGCAACAAAAGCGAGACTTTGTCTCAGAAAAAAGAAAAAAAAAGAGTGAGATGGAGTCAGGGCTCAGTGAAAATTAATTGACATCCTTACACATTAACTATAACTAGTTGTGTAACATTTTTCTCATATTGCCAAGACAGATGTTCTTGCAGGTGTAGGTTGACATTCTATTCAGAATGTCACCTCTTAAGGACAGAATCTGTGTCCTTCAAGTCTCCGTATCCTCTGTGGTGCCCAGCAGTGTGGTATGCCATGTATACCCATCCATTCTCTCCTTAGTTCTCATCATGTGCCAGTCACACTAACAGAACCTCCCTTAGTTGGAGTCTGAGGATCAGGAGGGAACTAGACAAATACGCTTAATAAATATTTAATGTACAACAGACTGATTGTTCTTTAATTCCCTAGCTTGAGCTACTAGGAAATCAGTGCCTCATTTGGTCAAACACTGACAGGTAGTACAAAAGCAGGAAGAAAAGCATCAGTGGAAAACCATCTTACTTCTTCTCTTCTCATGCTCTTTGCAAACATTAGAGCAGGTTTGATCTCGGAATACAGAGAAGGAAATAACTATTCTCAGCAGATGATCCCTAATACCTGAGTTCACAATTAGGATATGGTCCTTCACAAGGAACTCAGTTTATCTTTTCCTCTGGGTCCTCATAATCTGTGTGACTTATGAACTGAACCTAGCCATAGGCTTCTTTTTACATAAACAAGCCCATTTTGGGGTAAAGATGATTTTCCATAGCCAATTAATAGCAAAAGCAGATGAGAAATGCATCTTTGGAAACCAGTTCTTATCGTTTTTCCCCTTCTACCAGTAAATCGTTATCTTTCCTTTTTGTTCATTTTCTGCTTTTCTGAAATGGGAGTAAAAATCCATGATTTCAGCAGCTCAGAAAAGAGGCCTTTTGCTCATGGCAAGGCTCAGCTTTGCAGCAAGCAGAGGCCTCTTCTCCATTACTTACCAAGGACCAGCAAGGACGTCCACAGCAGCATGGAAGCCTGCTCCAGGTGGTCAGAGAAGGAGGAGATCTGAAGAGACAAGGCAGGCCAGCCCAGATTGCCCAAGTCGCACTTGGCTACACCTGCACTAGGCAGTGAGTTCAGTAAGCTTCTTCTTTGCATAAAGCTGGTTGAGTTAATGAAGTGAAAGGGGAAGTAGATGAATCTTTCTGAAAACCCAAGATAGCAATGTTGCCCAGTGTGAGAGAATACAGACTACGACAATCAAAATTTAATAGAATTCTTTAAGTACTGCTGTGACATTCTAGTGCGAATCACTTCTCAAGGCTAAAGTCACTATAATTTCAGAATTCTCTAGCCTCTGTCTTTCAAGGAAATCACAACCTATTCTCACTGCTACCAGAGATGATGTGAGATTGCAGGCCTGTTGAAATGCACATAATCCAAGCATGTCCCTGAATCTCCCTGGAGAGGAAGAATTTTTCATTCAACCCAGAAAAGCCCTCCTCTGAGCCCTGATCCATCTACTGGAACACCTCCAGCAGGCCATCTATATACCTGATGAAACATCTCAATCACAAGACAACTCACACATTGTCTGACATATATGAAAATATCCTGACTTATCAGTCTCAGGGGAAGCCACAACTTTTGATCTGAGTAGAAGGCAAGCTGAGTAGTAAATTATAGCCCCATTATACTCTTCCTAGATAATATACCATAACATTTTTACTTAATGCCCTAGAATACAAAATTGGAATGTCTTGCCAAATATATATTGATTGAAATATGTGGGCCTGGTATCTGGTAGCAGAGAGAATAAGTTGTGATTTCCTTGAAAGAGAGAGCCTAGAGAGTTCTAAGTATATGATTTTAACTTCATCACTTACAAGCTATGTGGGTCAAGGCAAATCCCTTTGTTACTTGGAGACTTTAACATCAAAACTTTCAAAAAAAAAAGTTTCTCAGCTACTTGGAAGGCTGAGGCAGGAGAATCACGTCAACCTAGAAGGCAGAGGTTGCAGTGAGCTGAGGTCACACCATTGCACTCCAGCTTAGGTGACAGTGCGAGACTCCATCTCAAAATAAAACAAACAAAAACTTGACATCTCTTCTTTTGCACCAAGAAATAAATGGCAAAACGTATATTTCACAGTGTATGTGCAACACAAGATTCAGCTTTATATCCTTTGAATGGTTGCAATATTTAGTTTTATTGTTTTATAAAGGCAAACTGCTATTTGCAAATGTAGGCAATCTGACCATGGATAGAAACTTCGCACAATAGTTTTATATTTAGAATAACTTTTTCTGAGATATCTGTAGAATTCTGGCATTCCTACATTGCCATATTGTTTTTCAGTATTGTCTTCCCTACTTCAATTATTGCTATTTGTAACTCTTCAGCCCCGCTCTCAGCATTAATTGAAAAAAGCCAATTCAACCATGCTGGTTTATTTTTAGATTTTTACTTTCTGAATTCACTTTTCAATTCAGCAATTTAGGATATGCAGTTCAATACATTCCTTTTATTTCTGGAAACTGATTTCAGTGAATAGGATTATGATTTTCAGTAATTACTCATAAATGTTTATCTGATAAAGATTCAAAGTGTTTAAATGGATTTTATTGTTCAATAAAAAGGCCAAGTATTTGATCTAATCTTTGGTAAGGAGCCAAGACTAAGATTGTTCATTGGATGAAATGAACAAGTTATTTTCTTTTCATTCACCATGCCACAAGCAAGCCACCTAAAATTCATGTATAGCTGATCGCCATACTTTGCATCTAATTCATCAAGTAAAGTGTTAACCTGTCTGTGCTTCTAACCTAAGAAACCTATCTAACTCATCATTTTAATTACTGCTTCTGAGATATGTTCTGTTTTTAACTCTTTAGCACAGAGTGATTCTGATAAATAATATAATGAGATTTAAGTTCTCTGTCGTTACAAAACATTACCATCTAGATTTTAAATTCCAAAAGAAGTTCAATGTTAGCACCAATCACAATAGGGTCACCTCTTTATTCTTTAAGAAGTTGTCCAGACTACATTCAGTTCTTCAGGACCTGTGGTAGATTACAAAAATGGCCACAAATTCTTCCCTTCCCTAAATCCATATATTTGCAATGTGACTTTGTAGCTGTTTATATAGAGAGGTGGAATTTATTTCTCTAGCTCTTGAATATGTTTTGGCCTGTGTCTTTGTGACATGATAAGCAATATATCTTTGATCTCTGTCAATGGTAATCAACTTTGATGAGTGAAATCAATATCACTTGTCATCATTCTAGTCCTGAGAAAATCAGCAGGGCTTAAGTGGTAAGTAGACTCCTCCAGTCCTCAACCCCTGGTCCCTTACCCACATGCCTTCTTCCACTTGGGTCTAGTCTGGGAACATCAACCCAAAGGAAATAATTATCATTGCAATACACTGGCTACAGCTGGGCTAACTAGAATAAACGGCTCAGAGAGGAATATAAATGACTGAATGGAGCTGAAAAACACAGCACGAGAACTTCGCAAAGCATACACAAGTTTCAATAGCCGAATCGACTAAGCAGAAGAAAGGATATCAGAGATTGAAGACCAACTCAATGAAATAAAATGAGAAGGCAAGAACAGAGAAAAAAGAATGAAAATAAATGAACAAAGCCTCCAAGAAATATGGGATTATGTGAAAAGACCTAATCAACATTTGATAGGTGTACCTGAATGTGACGGAGAGAATGAATCCAAGCTGGAAAACACTTCAGGGTATTATCCAAGAGAATTTCCCCAACATAGCACAGCAGGCCAACATTCAAGTCCAGGAAATACAGAGAACACCACAAAGATATTCCTCAAGAAGAGCAACCCCAAGGCACATAATGGTCAGATTCACCAGGGTTGAAACGAAGGAAAAAATGCTAAAGGCAGCCAGGCAAAAAGGTCTGGTTACCCACAAAGGGAAGCCCATTAGACTCACAGCAGGTCTCGCCACAGAAACCCTACAAGCCAGAAGAGAGTGGGGGCCAATGTTCAGCATTCTTAAAGAAAAGAACTTTCAACCCAGAATTTCATATCCAGCCAAACTAAGCTTCTTCATAAGCAAAGGAGAAAGAAAATCCTTTATGGACAAGCAATTGCTGAGAGATTTCGCCACCACCAGGCCTACCTTACAAGAGCTACTGAGAGACGCACTAAACAAGGAAAGGAACAACCAGTACTAGCCACTCCAAAAACACACCAAATGGTAAAGAGCATCAATACAATGAAGAAAATGTGTCAACTAATGGTCAAAACGACCAGCTAGCATCAAAATGGTGGGATCAAATTCACACATAACAATATTAACCTTAAATGTAAATGGGCTAAATGCCCCAAACAAAAGACAAAGATTGGCAAATTGGATAAAAAGTCAAAACCCATTGGTGTGCTGTATTCAGGAAACTCATCTCATGTGCAAGGACACACATAGGCTAAAAATAAAGGGATGGAGGAAGATTTGTCAAGCAAATGGAAAGCAAAAAAAAAAAAGCAGGGGTTGCAATCCTAGTCTCTGATAAAATGGACTTTAAACCAACAAAGATCAAAAAAGACAAAGAAGGGCATTACATAATGGTAAAAGGATCAATGCATCAAGAAGAGCTAACAATCCTAAATATATATGCACCCAATACAGGAGCACCCAGGTACATAAAGCAAGTTCTTAACGACCCACAAAGAGACTTAGATTCCCACACAATAATAGTGAGAGACTTTAACACTCCACTGTCAATATTAGACAGATCAACAAGACAGAAAATTAACAAGGATATCCGGGACTTGAACTCAGATTTGGACCAAGCGGACCTAATAGACATCTACAGAAATCCACCCCAAATCCACAGAATATACATTCTTCTCAGCACCACATCACACCTACTCTAAAATTGACCACATAATTGGAAGTAAATCACTCCTCCGCAAATGCAAAAGAATGGAAATCATAACAAACAGTCTCTCAGACCACAGTGCAATCAAATTAGAACTTAGGATTCAGAAACCAACTCAGAACCACGCAACTTAATGGAAACTCAACAACTAGCTCCTGAATGTCAACTGGATAAACAGTGAAATGAAGGCAGAAATAAAGATGTTCTTTGAAACCAACAAGAATGAAGACACAATGTACCAGAATATCTGGGACACATTTAAAGCGTATCTAGAGGGAAATTTATAGCAGTAAGTACCCACCAGAAAAGTGAGGAAAGATCTAAAATTGACACCCTATCATCAAAATTGAAAGAGCTAGAGGAGGAAGATCAAATAAATTCAAAAGCTTGCAGAAGACAAGAAATAATTAAGATCAGAGCAGAACTGAAGGAGATAGAGATACCAAAAAAATCCTTCAATAAATCAATAAATCCAGGAGCTGGTTTTTTGAAAAGATCAACAAAATAGCCCACTCAGCAGATTAATAAAAAAGAAAAGAGAGAAGAATCAAATAGATGCAATAAAAAACGATAAAGGGGATATCACCACTGACTCCACAGAAAAACAAACTACAATCAGAGATTACTACAAACAACTGTATGCACATAAGCCAGTAAACCTGGAAGAAATGGATAAATTCCTGGACACTTGCATCCTCCCAAGCCTAAACCAGAAAGTAGTTGAAACCTTGAACAGACCAATAACAAGGGCTGAAGTTGAGGCAGCAATTAATAGCCTATCAATCAAAAAAAGTCCAGGTCCAGACAGATTCACAGCTGAATTCTACCAGACATACAAAGAGGAGCTAGTACCATTCCTTCTGAAACTATTGCAAACAATTCAAAAAGAGGGAATCCTTCCCAAATCATTTTATGAGACCAACATCATCCTAATACCAAAACCTGGCAGAGACTCAACAAAAAAAGAAAACTTCAGGCCAATATCCATGATGAACATAGATGTAAAAATCTTTAATAAATTACTGGCAAACCAATTACAAAAGCACATCAAAAAGCTTATCCGTCACAATCAAGTAGGCTTTATTTCAAGATGCAAGACTGGTTCAACATACACAAGTCTGTAAATGTAATGCACCACATAAACAGAACCAAAGACAAAAACCACGTGATTATCTCAATAGATGCAGGAAAGGTGTTTGACAAAATTCAACAGCCCTTTATGCTAAAAACTCTCAATAAACTAGGTATCGAGGGAACATATCTCAAAACAGTAAAAGCTATTTAAAACAAACCCACAGCCAATATCATACTGAATGGGCAAAAACTGGAAGCATTATCTTTGAAATCTGGCACTAGACAAGGATGCCCTTTTTCATTACTCCTATTCAACATAGTATTGGAAGTTCTAGCCAGAGCAATTAGGCAAGAAAAAAAATAAAGAGTATTCAGTTAGGAAAAGAGGAAGTCAAATTGTCTCTATTTGCAGACAATATGATTGTATACTTAGAAGGCCCCAGTATCCCAGCCCAAAATCTCCTTAAAGTGATAAGCAACTTCAACAAAGTCTCAGGATACAAAATCGATGTACAGAAATCACAAGCATTCTATACACCAATAACAGACTAACAGAGAACCAAATCATGAGTGAACTCCCATTCACAAATGCTACAAAGAAAATAAGATATCTAGGAATACAACTAATGAAGTATGTAAAGGACCTCTTCAAGGAGAACTACAAACCACTGCTCAAGGAAATAAGAGAAACATACAAATGGAGAAACATTCCATGCTCATGGTTAGGAAGAATCAATATCATGAAAATGGCCACATGCCCCAAGAAATTTATAGATTCAACGCTGTCCCCATCAAGCTACCAATGGCCTTCTTAACACAACTGGAAAAAACCACCTTAAACTTTATATGGAAACAAAAGAGAGCCTGCATAGCCAAGACAATCCTAAGCAAAAAGAACAAAGCCAGAGGCATCACACTACCTGATTTCAAACTATACTACAAAGCTACAGTAATGAAAACAGCATGGCACTGGTACCAAAACAGAGATATAGACCAATGGAACAGAACAGAGGCCTTAGAGGCAATGCCACACATCTACAACCATCTGATCTTTGACAAACCTGACAAAAACAAGCAATGGGGAAAGGATTCCCTGTTTAATCAGTGGTTTTGGGAAAAGTGGCTAGAAGTGTTCAGAAAGCAGAAACTGGACCCCTTCCTGACACCTTACATTAAAATTAACTCCGGATGGATTAAAAATTTAAACATAAGGCCTAACACCATTAAAACCCTAGAAGAAAACCTAGGCAAAACCATTCAGGACATAGGCATAGGCAAGGACTTCATGACTAAAACACCAAAAGCGTTGGCAACAAAAGCCAAAATAAACAAATGGGACCTAATTAAACTCCAGAACTTCTGCACAGCAAAAGAAACAATCATTAGAGTGAGCTGGCAACAACGGAATGGGAAAAAATTTTTGCAATCTACCCATCTGACAAAGGGCTGATATCCGGAATCTACAAAGAACAGTTTTAAAGAAAAAAACAAACCCATCCAAAAGTGGGAGAAGGATATGAACAGATACTTCTCAAAAGAAGACATATGAGGCCAAAAAACACATGAAAAAATGCTCATCATCACTGATTATTGGAGAAATGCAAATCAAAACCACATTGAGATACCACCTCACACCAGTTAGAATGGCGATCATTAAAAAATCTGGAGACAACAGATACTGGAGAGGATGTGGAGAAATAGAAACACTTTTACACTGTTGGTGGGAGTGTAAACTAGTTCAACCATTGTGGAAGACAGTGTGGCGATTCCTTAAGGACCTAGAAATAGAAATTCCATTTGACCCAGCAATGCCAATACTGGGTATATACCCAAAGGATTATAAATCATTCTATTATAAAGACACATGCACACGTATGTTCATAGTGGCACTGTTTACAATAGCAAAGACCTGGAACCAACCCAAATGCTCATCGATGATAAGACAAGGAAAATGTGGCACATATACACCATGGACTACTATGCAGCCATAAAAAAGGATGAGTTCATGTCCTTTGTAGGGACATAGATGAACCTGGAAACCATCATTCTCAGCAAACTGATACAAGAACAGAAAATGAAACACCGCATGTTCTCACTCATAGGCGGGTGTTGAACAATGAGAGCACATGGACACAGGGAGGGAAGCATCACACATTGGGGTCTGTTCGGGGGGTCCAAGGGAGGGACAGCAGGGGGGTGGGGAGGTCAGGGTAGGGTAATATGGGGAGAAATGCCAGATGTAGGTGACGGAGGGATGGAGGCAGCAAACCACATTGCCATGTATGTACCTATGTAACAATCCTGCATGATCTGCACATGTACCCCAGAACCCAAAGTACAATAAAAAAAAAAGAAAAGTCATGGTGCATAGGAAGCAATCAATATATGCCATTATTAGTTTATATTATCTTTAGCTGTCACGCACTTAACTGATTGTTGAATGGTGTTAACATTTTGTTGCTCTTAAGTTTTGTGAATTTGTGATTGATCAGCAAGCTGCTGTCACATATGAAATAGGAAAACAACAACAAGAAAAAAAACTCCAAAAGATATAATACATAATTAACATCTATTTAATTTAAAATATTCACTAAATGCACAATTTCTAGAAAAACATAAATTATTTACATTGATTTACATGTGCGTATAACCCTCAAAAAACCAACACACAAAATATCATAGAACATATATTAGTCTTTTCTCTTTCAAGGGCTTAAGGATCAAATCCTATTGACAGTGGATTCACTCAAACTAGTAATGAATAGATCATTTTTGTAATAACAAATACAATGTACATCTTGGCAGAAGATAGAAAGCTCTCATTTGTGGTTCAGAAAACTTGACAAAAAAGGAAATAAAGTCTGCTTGGACAGTTCTCACTTCCCTTCTTCTGCTGGAAATTTTTTCTTGGTGAATTCAACTCCCAGCTTTCCAAGGAGCCCGAGGAGCAGGAGGCCTTTCGCAAGCATCGTGCACAGTAATGGGAATACGACTGAAGTTCCAGTCCCTGTTGGGTGGGACACAGAGCAGGGAGAGAGAAGCCACTGGGTGACTGACTCCTGGGGCGGCTGCGCTTCCTGCGGGGGGCTAGCTCAATGCCAGGTACTCTGCTCCACCTGACAGTTTGTGGCTGGGAATAAGCCTATATGATTTTGTCAAAGAGAGTTACCTAGAATCTAAGAATGTGCCGTTGGCAGGAAACTTCCCATAGAGTCCTGCCCCTCTTGCACTTACAACACCCCCACCGAGTGGCTATGGCTGTGCTTACACCCCACCAATGGCCAGGACCTCACTGTTGTCCTAAGGCTTCCATTCCATTTTTGTATGACTCTGACCTTAGAAAGCTCTTCTCTAATATCATGAGTCAAAACTTGCCTTTCTCTAACTTCTTCATGTTTCCCAGTTGAAATCACTTGCTACAAATATGACTCCTCACACACTCAGTAGCTGTTCAAGTAGGATTCAGAACAGAGCAGAAGTAAATGCCTAGTATAGCTCTTCTTTTCTCTTCCTAAAAATCCCTGATTCCATCCCTTCCCTGGATAGCTTCCTGGAGCATATGCAAATTTTTACTGGATCTTCCCAGCTTGCATTTATTGTCAAGAGGCGGCAAGGTTGGAATGGGGTGGTCAGCACAACTCCCCTTCCCCCAATCTCCAGGAAAAGAAGTGTCTTCTGAGCTGAGCATACTCACCTTGCTGGACACTTTTTTGAGCCCAACATACTTCCCCAAGGTCTTTGGTGGCAGTTTTCTGGTCCACATTGTTGCTGACCACACAGGTGAGGCTGGCATTGCGCTGGCTCGGGGACAGGCTCACAGCCAGAGTCCATGAGTTGGGGGCTGGTCCTAGTGTCCCTCTCTGCTCCAGCTCCCTGGGGAGACCCTGGGTCTCCCAGATTACATTCAGGTCCTCTGTGGTCCCTAGAACCCTACACTTCACGGTGAGGTTGCACCAGCCTGGTGTGATGGATGATGACTCAGTCAGGATCTGTGGGAGGGGCACAGGCTCTGGGAAGGAGGGAACAAAATAACGATAATTATTATTGTAAGGCATATTCTTCATTGATTATCTAATTTAGTTTCAGAGCATCTTGCTGAGCAGGCAAGATATTTCACAGCCAAAGAAACTGAGATTTGAAGAAGTAAAACAGTTTGCCCAAAGTTATATCCTGGGAAAGTGGTAGAGAAGAATCCCAGATTTAGAGAAGGGGTAGCAGCCAGAGTCTCTCAGCTTCCTCCACAACTGTGTGTCCCCTGCCTGTACTACATGAAGCCAAACCCACATTCATTGCCCTTCACATACCTCATCAGATCCTTACAATCCCCAGAGAACTTGGAGGGTACAATAAAACCTTTTGGGAAAATACCTTTTACCAAAGAATTTGCAAAACTAGTTCTGAAAACCAGATTTGAGACGCAAGCTCTCATTTATACTGAAGGCATACAAGCTTAGGATCTGGAGATCACGGGAAATTAATTTCTTTATAAAGAGCTATGCTGTGAGTCCCCTCCATACCTCATGCATACCTGCCCTTCACCTCAAGCTTGGTGAGAGGAACATCAATGAGACCATTCAGAGAGCTTGGGGTGTGTTCCCTGCAGCTTGGGGATGCACTGGACAGGTTCCTGACTCACATCTGAGAAACTCAAAGTGGGAGATGTTGCTGAAACAGCCCATGGCCGCAGAGTCAGGACTGCCAGTAGGGAAACTGGATCCCCATTGAGGAGTCAAAGGAACCTGGTTTTCATCTGCTGGACATGGGACCTTAAAAGAATTTGTCAAGAGGGCCACTTGAAGGAGCAATAGAACCCTGGTACGGAAAGTCTGTATTCAAATGGACCAGCCAGGAAGCAGGGGCCAAAGAGAGAGTCATAAATGGTCACCCTGAGAGTGCATAGTGAATGACAAAGTAGGTGACAGATTCCTACTGTCAGATAAGAGGCTATCTATCCAGAGAATCTATGAAAATGCCCTGGGGGAGAAAGAATCAGCCTGGACACTATCAAGCTCAGAGAATCCACTGGTGCCCATATAGAACTACTCAGGAAGGCCTTTCCCATCTTTTCTACGCCCACCCTCTTTACTGCTTCTCTCTGTCTGCCCTCATGGATTTGGGAAAGGAGTTCCATCTTCTGGCTCTTCTGTCACCTTTGTAGATGTTTGCAGGGAATTTTCTCCTGATCTTTGGGTATCGTTCTCCACACCTGTTGCTGATAGGACTGGTCCTGCTTGTCTGGGGCTGGGGTGGGCAGGTGTAACTGACACCTGTGGTTCCTGCCACAGCCTCCGTAATGAGGTCTACACACTCTGACCTTCCTTATTTTGACCTCGGGCATCTTCTGGCCCATGACCCCTCTCAGTAATTCATTTCCCTACGGAGGCCCATGAGAACTGCAGAATCTCCCAGTATCGATGCACAGGCTGAGGAGAGCTTGTTGCACTTCTAGATGCCCTTGTTCTGCTGAAACATACTATGCCCCAATTTCTGCTCAACAGGGCTCCCTGGGAGGAGGCCCTGCCCCCCCCCCCGTTCAAAGGTAAGTGGGACCTAATCCCTCTGCCTTTGTTTTTCTAGTCAACCTATCTGGAGGTCCTATCACTTGGCCTGCTCTGCTCTCTTCTGCCTCACAGCCACTTCTGTTGAGCCCTAGGAAATGGTGATATCAAGTCCCTTCTAAGTTGTAATCAGAGTTTCAACTTTAGGCATTTCTTCAATGCTTACTTAGTTCCAGAATGTTACATACAGATGTTGGAAAATTACTCACATTATCTTACCTGGCATTTTTTTTTTAGTTTGTGACTTGGAAGAACTCTATCCTCTGAATCTACAGTCTTTGATTTGGAACACACAAATCTATTTTTTTCAAGCAATACAATTTGGTTCTTGCCTATTTTGGCAGTCAAGAGGCGAACACTGCGTTCTGCATTCTCAGCAGGGTTCTAACCTCTGCCTGAAGTAATAGCCGCCTGCACCCCAAATGTCGGACATTTGTGGGCAACAAGAATTACAGAAAAGGAAAAGATACTTTGGAAACTTCCAGAGAAGAAGGCACTTGAACTGATTGAGCAAGCCTCTCCTAACACTCTGACCACACAATAGTGCTTGATAAAAACATAACAAAAATGTTTTAATTATATAGCTTAGGTTCAGAAAAACTCCAGGTACAGAAACAAGATGTAACTCAATGCTAAGTGGGTGAGTGGGATTTGAAGTTCTGGAGACCCAAGAAGTTATCAGAACCAGAAACCGACCGTAGAGGCTCATGTTGTAATCTCCCTATATAAGGATGAAGCCTAGGCTGTGCTTGTGCTTGTAGTGAGGCTGACAAAGCCAGATGAGGGGTTGGGGTGGATATAGTCTGTCTTCTCATTTGGGAAATCAGGCTGGGGAATGCCATCTGTCCTGTCTTAAAGATGGTATCCGTGAGGAATTGGAATCCAATCCTGCACAGTGAATTGGTGTGGACATTAACTGTCACTCCGTGCTAGAACTCTGAGCTTAGAAACTACCTTAAAAATAGATGAAACCTACAGGACCCCAGCAGACGAAACGGTAAATCCATGAGGAGACTTCCTCAGCTCAGGGCACAGTTTGGACTCTTGTAAAGAACAATTACTGCTGAAAATATGGTAACAGTAAAAAAAATTACCAACATGTTAGGAAATGCACAAGCTTCTGATAGAGAGTTAGCAAAGGCCACTAACCAGAAGTGACAATCTGGTAACCACAGTTAACAGAGAAATTTGCCACGGAGCTTCAGAGAACTATGCTTAAACTCTAGAAAGAGCTAAAGTCAAGCCTGTAATACAAAACAAAACATTTTGAAGAAACAACAGGCAGGAGGAAATGAGAAGGAAAAATCTTAAGCAAAGAAACAGATAAAAGACATCAGCAAATATTAAAAAAGTATTGATGGTATATATATAGCTATATAGTCAGATAATATTTCAAACTTATTACATAGGAAAGTAAATCCAGGGAGTTATAATCTTGGGCGCCTGTGCCTGTCAGGAGTGGACCTCCACTGACTAAGAATATCTCATTAAGGGCCACAGTGGGATCAGGTGCCTTCAGGAACCACTGGGGCAGGCCTGCTCTATCCCCAGTGGTGGAAGCAGAAGGCTTAGTTAGCCCCAGACACCTACTGTAGACATGGGCTGCCCACTTTCCCCAAAGGTCTTTAATCATTTCTTATATACTTTGTTTTCTTGGAAGCATTGATTGTATCATAAATATTATGTTGTTAATTTTCTGTTTTTTAAATGTATTAATTGGTCTAACTCAGATCTTCATTTGGCACTGGTGTTGTCTGTGATTGGGTGAGCTATCAACCCAAATAAATGTACTACAAATTTACCACACCCTATAGACAAAGATAAAATTTCACAATAAACAGAGGTAGAAAAGGTGGATTATCTACAAAAGAATGAAAGGAAAATTACAACACAGCAGGATTATTAATAATTAATTAAATTATTAATTTAATCATTGAATTATCTATTCAATGGAACTATTATTCAACAAGGATAAAGATATTCCCAGGCAAATTAGAACGGAGAATGCACGCCACCATTAGACAAGCACTAAAGAAGTACTTCATGAAGAAGGAAGATGGTCTTGGAAGGAAAATTTGAAAAGGGATAAGAAATAGTGAGCAGAGAAAATGGCAAATGGAATAAATCTGGACACTGATTTAAATAAAAAGTAACTTATAATTGTGGTTGTGGAAATATAGAAAAAATAATATTGGATAAGACAAGAAGAAGAAAAGTTTGAAAGTGCTCAAAAGCCCTTTAATTTTTAGGAAATAGATATAAAGATATATTTATGTAGGCTTTGTGTTAGATATACATGTAAAAATTTTGAGTCTCATCTCTACATGATTAGAAATAGTGTATAAATTCCAAAAAAGTAGAGAAATAGTAGAATAAAGATTTAAACTTGATTGAATGAAGGAAAGAAGAAACTAGATTAAACACAAGAAATAGAAGGAAATAATAAGGTGATGGAAATAATTCCATATAGATCAGCAGTTACATTACCTTAAATGGGAGAAACCTCACCAATTAGACACTAGAAATGAAGAGATTTGAGAGAAAGCTAAATCCAGCTACTGTTTATAAGAGACAAGACAGGGAGAAAGGAGATTGTCTGAGTCCATTTGGGCTGTAGTAATAAAATACCATAGACTGGGTGCCTTATAAACAATGTTAATTTATTTTTCACAGTTGAAGGCTGGAAAGTCTAAGGTCAGTGCATCAGCAGATGCAATGTCTGGTGAGGACTTACTTTCTGTTTCATAGATGGCACTTTCTCACTACATCCTCACATGATGAAGAGGGGAACTAGCTCTTTAGTATAAGGGCACTAGCTCCAGACATGAGATCTCTGCATGACCTAATCATCTCCCAAAGACCCTACCTCCTAATGCCATTATCTTATGCATTGGGTTTCAATGTATGAATTTGGGGTGGACACATATATTTAGACCATAGCATGGGTCATATAACAATTCTTCATCTACTAGCAATGTGTAACAATACTTTTAATCACATACCCTTGTAATATATAACATAAAATTGACAGAATTGTAAGAACAGAAAGACAAATCTATTTTTATAGTAGGAGACCTTAATAGGAATCTCAGTAATTGAAAAATACAGACAAAAATATATAAGGAGAAAAATTCTAATTTGATTTAATAAAGAGCAAACCTAACACTCAATAATTAAAGGATGGATTTTATTTTCAGGTACAAATGGAACATTTATAAATGTTGACTATCACTACTACTGCTAGTAGTCCACAAAGAAAATTTCAATGAATATTCAAGAGTACTCTCTTTCCTTTCCACCTATAATGTGAGTTGTTTCTTGCCTCTAGGGATAATGCTTCAAAGATCATCTGTGTCCTCCCCAGCTTCTATAGCACAATTACAGACGCCCAATAAATATCTGATTATTTTGCAACATGAAAGGGCAAATTTAGAGAGATTTAGCAAAGATCCAGAAGTCTTGAGACTTTTTGGAGTCTACTGATAAATTATTCCACTCCTAATGCACTAGCAGAGAGAAGACCTCAAGGTAGCACCAGAATCTAAGATAGACCCCTGCTCACCACTTCAAGGAAAAAAGGAACTAAGTTGTAACCAATGTCCCTACTCTACCTTCCTTCTTCTGGCTCCAATGTCCTTTCTTACAAAAACTTACTCTGTACACGAATTTGGGATCTCAGGCTTTCTTTTTTGACGGTGTGAGCCACAGTATCTATCTCGCACCAGAAGGACCCTGAATCTTCACTCCTCATGGCAGTAATCTGGAACTTCGAGGAGTTGGTCCAGCCTAATCCCAGGGTCTGGCCATCTCTGAAGAAGCGGAACTGGAGCTGGACATCTGACCTCTCTAGAGAGAGCTGGGTCTCACAGGTGAGGGTCACTAGGCTCCCGTTGATGGGCTGGGAGGAGCTTGCTCTCAACACTGGACGTGAAAACAGCTCTAGAGAGAAGAATCACAACAACGGTCCCAGAGCAATGAGGCTGAGATGTGCTCTGGAGAAAAACACACTTCAAGCAGTAGCACATCCAAAAAGCAAGCAAAGAAAGGGATGTCATCAACCCCTAGCTTTCTTCAGTCCAAAGCACTGCTGTGCCTCCTCTGGTCCTTGCAGGAATGTCCCTGTGATTTAATGGTATTCCAGCCCACCCTTTTCCTCCTGTTCTACCTCTGTGACCCTGGGGAGTCTCCTTTTGACCAACTCACTTTTCAAAATGATGAAGGCTTTACCTTGGACTTGGATTTTGACTATGTTGGAAGAAACAGGGAAATTACTTCTATTAAATCCTGTACAGTGATATGCACCATTGTTCTTGAGACTTGCATGATGAATCCGGAAGTCAGAGCTTTTATTAAGAAATGCCAGGATATTATCATCCTTGTAAATAGTATTCAGTGTTATTTCCACCTTTGCCCGGCACCTTAGAACCACGGAGTCTCCTTCAAACACGGAAACTGGAGATTGCAGGATCAGCGAAGCTAAGGGAAACACAACCGCAGTTACTTGGTTCATCTCACTGTTCCCCTTTCCTTTCATTGTTTTTCCAAGTAGACTGTATTTCAAAGAAATGTGTTGGGAGAAAGGATTATTACAGTAATTATGATTTCTTTTTTTGCTGTTTAAACACATGAGCCTTGAGAAAAGTTCAAAAGCAGAAAGTTGAAAGGTAAAAACCAGCCACATTTTGGCATATGTTTTTCCCATTTTCTCTTCCTTCTTCAACTACTTGACAGTCTGTGTATTTTTTATGGAATAGAAATTATATTTATAGATTTGATAACCTGCTTTTCAATTCGTATATTACAAACACTTTCCTGTGTTATTAATATCATTCCTGAACCTGATTTTCAGTGGCCACAAAATGTTCCCTTAGTGGCAGTAACGTAATTTATTAAATGAGGCTTATTCTTGACCATTTAGGGTCTGCAATTTTCAAGGATGTATATCTATGATTGTTTCAGTAGGCAAATTCTTAAGAGAGATTGCTAAGTCAAAAAGCATAAGCATTTTATTTGTTTCTTGCTACCAAACTGCTGCTTTTTTCACTAAATGAAAGGACTTTAGGATGCCATGGTTTCAATTTCAAAACAGGTGGTTTTAGGACAAAAAAAGAAATGTCTCTTCTTTTAGCTCTCATTCTCTCTCAAATACTATCTCATCTAACTCTCTTTTTCTTTCTCAAAATAGAAAAGAATATTCCTTCTACTTATTATTCCAGACACATAATATGGCTTAAAACTATAAATAGATTTGAGAATTCTTCAAATAAATTATTCCTCAAATATTCCTTTACCAGAACAGCTTGAAAACTACGAATTCCTGGGCCCTACTCTTGTTTTACTCGGTAAACACAGGGTAGGTCCTGAGTATCTGTATGATTAATAAGCTGCTCAGGATATGTGACTCAGATTGAACTTTAAGAACCACGAGTTTAGAGACATTAATCCACTCAATGGAAACTGCAGTGTTTGTATGGTTCATCCAAGCAACCTTTAGTTGTTATTTGTGATATGTATGTCCTCCTAGATACACCGCTTGAAGTCACTGTCCCTTGGGCTGGATGAGTTTTATAAAGAGAATTTAAATTTTCTTCATTTTAATGTTTAAAATTAAGCAGCTAATCCCATTCCCTGTCTGGTTGTATTCCAGCTTTTTACTCTCTCCCTGCCTTACCACAGTGTGAAATAAAATTGTCCACTCACGAAGGGTCTGAAGTCATAACAGCTAGAGAGAAACATGGGCTGAATTGATTTCTAAAGTCGGTGCGTCTTTCACTCTCTCTCACCTGAAGAGAAGACCAAGCGCACAGGGCTACTGAGCGAGGAGCCCCCGGCCTGGCATCTGTACTCTCCAGATTCTCGAACCTCGAGGGTATTTGCTGGGGTTTCTCTTGGTATTTCTTTCCCAAGGTACAAACGGAACCATTTTGTCTTCTGTGGTGAGTAGAAGTGAAATTCCTTGCAAGTCAGAGTCACTCTCTCTCCTTGGAAGACTGTGGTCCATGGAGGCTGGAGGGAAATAACGGACTTGTGTGTCCTTGCTGAGGAGGAAAGAAAAAAGGAGTCTAAGGTAGAGGCGCCCGCAGGCCCAGCCTCAGGGCCTCCTGTTGCATAGCCTGGCCCTCACCTCACCCAAGGGAGAAATTGCCCAGGGAATGACAATGAGCAAAATGATTTCAGGAGGGTGACACCGGCAGGATTCACCATCAAACATCACAGTTAGGTAGCCTTACATGGAAGGGGGTCCCAGAGAAAACCACCACTGCACTGCCATTTCATCATGTTCATACACTCACAAGAACCTCCAAAGGTGATTTTTAAAATCACAATGTTGCACTTACCCTGAGAGACTATATCATATTATCTTAAGATTTGTCACTGAAAAAACCTTGGCAGCTCAACTTAACATCTTCATTTTGTAGATGATGATTCAAATGCCCAGAAAAATCCCATCATAGCTAATTGTGGCAGAGCAAGAAAGGGACAAGTCACTCACTGGCATCCAGGGGTGGTCAGGACAAGGTGACAGCTGCGGCACTGATTTGGACAAGGAGAGGGGTTGTAGAGGGTTCTTGCTATTCATAGATTCTCAATTATTCACTCTTAGTTGAAGGAATGGCAGTAAGAGCCAGAACTAATTGAATGTGGGATGCTGATGACTTGTCTTCTCCCCTATCTCCCCTTTCTGTGCCTTTCTTTTTTTTAAGGGCCCAATTGTAGGATTTTCTGTTCCCCACACATTTCCTGGAGGATTTTACTCCAAAGCTGTAGAGAATGCAGCATTCCTGCTGACATCAGCACAGTGGGATGTTTTCAGAGGGATTTTTTTGGTTTGCTGATTGGAGAGGATCCTAACTTGAGCCCAGCACAATTGCCATGGAGTTGAAGATGTCCTTCCTGGCTAAGTGGGGTCTGTTGGCAATAACAGTAAATGCAGAGCCTAGCAAAGGCCAGGAGCTGCTTGTGCATTCACCACTTCACCCAGGGAGTGTTGGAGGGTGACCAGGCACTATCCTGGCCCTTGATGATGCCAAAAAACCAAGCATCACTTTGAAATCCCTGCTGACCTCAGCAAGAAAACAGGAGATATTAGAGATCTCAGGCAACTGTCACAAATGTCTTCTATTCATTAGGAAAAGACACTCTTATCTAGAGACACTGAAGAGCCAAAGACAGGAGAACTCACCAAGCTGTCCGTTGACAGGAGCTGCAAAATATAAGAGCCAGAGATGAGCACAGAGCCAAGATTATTTGGCTTTAAGAAGATAATTCCCTTTTTTTCCTCATGCATATGTTACTTCTCCCATTAAAAAATTCATTTTTAAAAAATCTAATAATTATCCATCAAATGTTCATATATACTAAGGCATGGTGCTTGGACTTTAAAAATGGTATCTGCCATCAAGAAGTTGACTGGTGGAAAAACAGAAACACTATGTAAAGTAATATAATTGTAACACAGGGTGTAAGTGCAATAACAGAAATACACATGGGGTATCTTGGGGGCAGAAGGGTCACCTAGTCCAGTGTGTAGGATCTATGTGCGTTTGTAGAGTGTAGAGTGTGTGTTTGTGTGTATATGTGTTGAAGAGGGTGGATGGATCCTGTAAGGTATCTGAAGGAGATGATACTTTGGAAAACTGTGAGTGAGAACATAACTGTGAGTGAATCTGCAGGTGGATGTTAGCTTTTGTGTGTGGCTAGAGGTGGTGGGGAGGGTAATCAAGACACAAAGGGCACAGAGATGGAGAAAAAACATAGGTGCTCAGGAATTGGGAGTGTTGCGGAAAATAAGATCAGAGAGGAATGCAGGGCCACAGTAAGTGGCTGTAATTTTATTATAAAAGCTATAAGGAGTCATGGAAAGGTTTCAAGGAGGAGGTTGACAAGGTTAGAAGCTGAACTCAATGGAGCAATCTGTCAGTAGACACACCTCAGTGGGACAATACAAAGCAGGGACAGTGATTAGAAGGCAGGGAAAGGAAATGGACATGAATTATAAACCTCCCTTGGGCACCAAACTCCAGGCTACACTCTTTTCATGAAATCATTGGATTCAAGGGCTTGTTATCATCTTGTTTAAGTTTTAAATAATTAAATTAGTCTCAGATTATTTTGCCCCTCATCACAGAGACAGAATGTTACAAAGATAGGATAAACCTCATTGTCTCTAAAGCTTAGTATCATGCTCTTTTATTAAACTATGCTCTCTGTTTGAGAAAGTCTGAGAAAGAGACGCTAATGTTAGATAGGCTAGCAAAAGCCTTATCCCTTGCTCAGGGATGGCCAAGGAACCAGAGCGTACACATGCTATAGGGTAGTTATGGGACTTTCTTCATATGATTCCTTGTATCAGGGTCTCAAATTGATCAGAACAAATAAGTAAATATTTGGGGACAGAATGTTCCTTACTTACATCAAAACAGCTTCTGACCCTTGTGCAGACTGGGGGTTGGGAAGGTGAAACATAGTATTGTCAGTATCAAGTACTGACTACTGGGCACTCTGCTAGGTCTGGAGGATAAGCAATGGGTTTTACGAAGCCTGCAGGCCAGTAAGCAGCAGTTACAGGGAGTGTTTGCGTATTCTATAATTCTGCTCTTTTTCCATTTACCCAATCATATTTTCAAGCTTTTCTGGCCAATGAACATGAATTCCTTCTATCATATCTCAATTATTTGGCTTACTTGCTACAAATATCCTAATACAACATTAGTTTCTATTAAAGTTGTGTTATTATTATAATACCTAAGTTTTTAACTTTCAGATTTAAAATCTCTACTGCTTCAGTGTTTAGGAATCCATATTAAAAAACAGCCTTAATTTTATTTTCCATTAGTTTTTAATAATTAGAAATATAATTATAATTATCTAGACTTTATTTTTAAATTTATAGCAAATTGAAAATATCTATTGTTATATAATGCCTATTTTTGTATATTAGGTAACATGTAATTAGATACATTTATGGGTTTCTATTATTTTCCATTGACCTATGTTTATGTGAAATCTATTTTTTAATGTATAAATTAGATTTCCGACATTTCTGTTTTTTTAGAAAAGAATCTATCCTTTGGCATTCTTACCGAGATATATATTTTTCTAGGTATATTTTTGAACATTTTAGTGAGTTTCATGGAAAAGTCCACAGGTAGTTTGAAATTACACAGCATCTACAAATCCACTTGGGGAGAACTGATCTTTTTATAATATCTCTACTTTACTACTCCTATCCAGACTGATGCTATGTCCTTATTCATTGAAGATTCCTTTGTACAATTTTATATATCTCCTTTTCTAGGTTAAAAAAACTCTATTCCCATGTTTTCACTTTTATTGCTATTTTAGATGATTTCTTCATTATAATCTCCAAGTAGTAATTCATAATATTCCTGGATTTCATAATTTTTGATACTTATCTTGAATCTTCCCAATTTATGAATATTCATACATTTCTAACTATACCACATAGATGATATGATCAAGAGCACGGGCTGTATAGCACATAGCAATAATAGCAAACAAGCTGGTGATAAGTAAATGCTGTGGAAATGAATAAAGAATAAATAATACTTTTTAAAATCTTGGCTTCCTATTTGTCTGCTGCCTATTTTTGCTACTAATTTAGTGTGTTGGCCAGGATTTAAAAACTATTGCAAATTGTGATGATTGCAGTCATCTTGGTTCTAGCTTCAATTTGAATGGCAATTTTAGTCCTGTTTTTAATGTGTAATCTTGCCTGTCAATCTAGAACACATATTCTTTATCATGTTAAGTAAGTATTCTTGTGGCTTAAGAATACTTCTTTTTGGAATGGATACTGATTTTTAATACTTATGTCAATACTTTTGACACCCGTTGTCACCATATGATTTCTTTTCCTGTTTGTTTTTTTTTTGTTTTTATTTTGAGAGACAGAGTCTCAGTCTGTTGTCCAGACTGGAGTGCAGTGGCATGATACCAGCTCACTGCAGCCTCAGCCTCCCAGGTTTAGGTGATCCTGCCACGTCAGCTTCCCAAGTAGCTGGGACTACAGGTACACAACACCACACCCAGACAATTGTTTTTGTAGAGATGGGGTTTCACCATGCTGCCTAAGCTGGTCTCAAACTCTTGGGCTCAAGCGATCTGCCCACCTCAGCCTTCCAAAGTGCTAGGATTACAGGCATGAGCCACTCTGCCCAACCCATATGATTTCTTTTATTCAGCATTTTGATGTGTTTTTTAAATATAATAAAAGTGAATGTCCATATAGTCTTCAATTCTGATACAAATCCTATGTGGCAGTATTTAGTGTAAAGATTAAAATGAATTAACACATATAAATTACTAGCGAGCACTCAATAAATATTAGCATTTCTATTATCACCATTTTTGTTTTGATGTGCTCCTAAATTCTTATTTAGGAGGCCAGGGGCTTATATTCCAAAAAAGCTTGCCCAGTTCCCTCTAAGGCTAGAGACTGCTTTAGGGCAGAGCACAACAGAAGCTTTTATGAGCATCTGAGCTTAGTGCTCAGCCCCTTCCCCCATCCAGGTCCTAATTCATAGTGTCTACTCACCTAGAACCAGCATCAAAGGCCACAGCAACATGGGGACCTGTTCTGGGAAACCCAGAGGAAGTTTATCCTGGAGATTGACCATACAATTCAGGTCTGAGGACAAATGCTCTCCACAGTGGCACCCATGAGCACTGCCTAGGAGATTTGGAGAATTTGAAAAAGGGAAGCCAAGGATACTGCTATTAGCTAATTGGCATTTCCTCTGCTGTGGGTCCTAAGGAAATGAAGTTGCTTTCTTTTTTTTTAAGTCTTCCTAAATACAGGGTGACCTTATGGTTGAACTAGACAAGAAGCTATCCAGGGACTTTAAGACATGCTATCCTATTAGAAAGGCTCAAGTCTCCTTAGCTTCTGTGTCTAGGTGACTTCATTCACTCATTTAACAATTATCTATTGAGTATTCACTGTGTTTCACTGGTTGTGCAGTGTTGAACAGAGGTGACATGATCCTTGTCTTCATGTAATTTCTAGTTTAATGAGGGTAGAAAGACTTTATAGAGAATAGCATGTCCTCTATTTCCTGTTAGGATCTAAAAACTCATCTTTCAACAGAGTACTTCTTATCTGCCACTTTCTATATACCATGTGGTTCCTTATAGATTCTATTTTGCCTATACCCTGCAAACACACTCCTATGCTCTAAAGGCTATTGGCTCTCACCTTGAGCAAAAATCCCAACTTCTTCCTCACTATTAAATGAGTTAAGAGGCAAAAGCACTTCAAATAGTGCCCAGCATATGATACATAAATAAGTGAAAAGTAGATGTCTATTTGTCTCGAACTGGGCATGCACTAAATTGCTCCAGTCCACTTCCAGAGTACATACTGCCTATCTCTTTTTCACCCAGTGGATCCTTAGTGCTCCATAGATTTTACAAGTATCCCAAGTTTTTTCCATGACAGTTCCACAGGTGAGTGTGTGGCCAGTGCTCTGAGTGACAATAATACCATACAGGTGTCCAGGCAGCTTCCTTGGTAAGAAATATCTCTGGGGGGATCCCTGCTTTAGCCACCAGTAAAGAATGCAAAATGGTCTTCCCAGTAGTGGATTCTATGGTTGAATGACCCTGGGACTTCCTGTGACATACACAGGTCCTGGAAAGTGTCAGAGAGATGCTAAGGAACACTGTTCAGGAGCAGATGACTACCTCCCTCCTTCACCCAAATCTTTTTCTTTCTTTTCCTCTCATTCTCATTCCAGGTCCATCCACCACTTCCTTTGAGTGCTGAATTCAAGATATTTATTCTCTTTTCCAAAGTAGATATTAGTTGTCTATTAGGGAGGGCTTAGCCCGTAGAAGCTCCTAAAGACCTAGTTCTTCTAGAATTAAGGAGGGTTAAGTTCTTCAATCCCAAAGGCCTGTTTATCTTCTTGGAGGTGGAGGTCACTGTTCCAGGGGCCCTTCTCCATGCCCCTCCCCCACTACAAGTTCACACAAACATATACAGTCATCATGGAGTGAAGACACTTCCTGTCATATTTTTGTTAAAAAACATAAAGCAGTCTAAGGTTTTACTGGAACATATTGCTACATGTAAAATGATTCAGCACGTAACAACTGTTTGCACAGATATAACTGGCTTCTTAAATTTCATATCCACTTTATAAAGAGTTATAGATACAATTACCTCTACCTCAGATGTTATTTCTATTCTTTTTTGACTCTGCTGATTGCAGTATGTTGTAGCTGGAAGGTGAGGAAGGGAAGTTTTCGGAAATCCGAAAAGGCCTTCTCTATGCAGTCTTGCATAAATTTCAAGTATAGTAGTAATACTAAACATAATTGTCATCATCATCATCATAGCTCATACTTATTAAGCACTGACTTAATGTCATATGTTGGGCTAAGTAATTCATTTTCTTCTCATGAAACCCCTGTAAGTTAGATTATGCTGTTATTCACATGTCAGAATGTCTTAAAAGTTAAAGCAGATTGTGGCATCTTGCACCTTCTTATTACTAAAGAGGCACAATACCTGGTGGATATCTTTGGAATTTGGATGCAATATATCCTCATTTAAGTGCATCACTCTTACCCATTTGCTGAGGAGCCCATAACACTATTGGTTTTGAGTGAGGCTCAGGGCAAGAGAAAACTTTGCAATCATTCCAGATTGCTTTGAAAGCTGTTTGACCACTTGAGACTTGTGATGCGCTAGATCCAATCAAGCCTGAAATGACTGTAGCAAATATGGATGTTGTATGGTGCTTCTAAGCCAGAAAAGGAAAATTAAAGCACAGGATTCTAGGATTTGAGAGAAAAGTTATACTGTCTTATGGAGATAAATATTCTTTTAGGAGATAGCATCTAGTTTGCCTAGACCTTACTAAAAACTTAATACATAACATAGGACATCAAATGACCATGCAATCTGAACTGCTTATCATGAGTGGGGTTTTATCTAGCCACAAGATTATACACATACAACAGCAATCCATCCTTAAAAAGATATATGCTTGTATATATAATATGTGTGTGTGTGTGTGTGTGTGTGTGTGTGTATGACTAAGTTTAACCAGACTAAAGTAAGTTCTATGAGCAGGTGGCTTAGACTGCTAAGGTACCAACTTTTACTGTATTCCCTCCTCTCCTGCAGTTCACATCTATAGCTTCTTATGGAATTCCTTTTAACTAGATAACTACAGAAGGAAAACCAGGGCTTGTTTCACGGATGATTTTGTCTAATACGTTAGCAAAACTGGAAGTGGACTGTTGTATCATTGTAACCGCAATTAGTATTGTTCTTGAAAGAAAGTGATGAAGGAAATTCCTCAAAGGGGGCAGAACTTCAAGTAGTATCAGTAGTACTGGTCATCTACTCAGTCTGGCTTGAAACTAAATGAATCTTGATCGATTCTGCCCTACAGATGAGCTGAATCAATGGGCTCCCTTCCACGGGCTAGGAAATCTGGCTTTTAGCTATGGAGATAGAAAGAGCCCTGGGAATGAGAGAGAGTTACAGCTTTCAGAGCAGAGGTACTCAGAGGACTGAGTCAGAAACAGGCTGAAAGTTCTCTGCTCCAGCAAAAGGGACACATGGCAGAACACTGACTGCCTTCCCTCTACTGAGGGTGTGATAAACCTTAAATACTAGAGGAGAAATCCCGTGCTTTACAAATAAGCAATTAAGTAAGTAAGACAATTTCAGAGAGTGGCAAATTCTTTAAAAGAAACAAAATAGAAATCAACATATGTGGGCAGATAGTATAAAACAACCAGCAACAGTAACTAGTATTTGAATGATTAGTAAATTTTAGACATAGGCTCAAGCTGTTTACCTGTGTTAACTCATTCAATCCTCACAAAAATCTTTAAAGGTAAGTATTGTTCTTGTTTTACAGATGAGGAAGCTGATGCGTAGGGAAGTTGAGCACTTTGTCCGAGGACACAGATGGCAAGTAGAGAAGTCTGTCTGATTGCAGGGTCAAGGTATTCCCAAGGATTCCAACAATCTCCCACTTCCTGATTCCAATTTGTTTATGACCTTCCTGCTTAGCATTCTAACAGCTATCCATTTTCCTTTACAATAAATTCCCATTTTTACTTAAGATTGCGTAATTGGTCCATGTTTCCTGCTACCAAAAGGGTCCTATCAGTATTTATAAATAAAAGAGCAATTTCCACTCTCAGTAGATTTAAACCTGCTTGGAGAACAAGGCTCTTCTCTTTTCCATGTTAGCATTGGAGGTCTTTCTTTCCATCAGGTACTGAAGGACAAAAAGAGATTGTATGAAGAAAATTTGAAGGATCTGGTGAAACTGAAGCTGAAACTAAATGGCAGTGTTGGATATTGAAAACAGATAATGATCATAATGATATTGCTCTATTCTAGACATGGAACATGGGTTTATCTGTAAAATTCCTTATGTTCATATTTGTTTTTAGGGTCCATCTCAATGGAGTTAAATCAACTACTGCACCCTAAGAAGATTTATAGCACAGACTTCGGTCCACCAGCAACCACTTACAAAATCTGCCCTTCCCTTTGAAGATCTCTTCTCCCTCTCTCATTGGCATTTCTCAGCAGACATGTTTACTTTTTAGGGCAGGACCTGCTCATACAAAATGGAAAGCCGGTGACTGGAGTGGAGATAAATGTAACTATTGCACTTTCTTGGCCCGAGGTGATAGAAGACCACACTCTTGCCGCCATTAAAAAGAAGGGGCTTAGACAGATATTGATGAGTCTCCTGTGCACTGGTCAAAAACCCAGCCTTGCCTGGAGATCATGAAGAAGGCACAGAAGTCACAGATTATTTTTTCTTCTGCGTGGAGCTGCCAAAAAGGAGAAAGCAGAGATTAGCATAAACCTGCTAATTTTTTAATATTTTCACTTTGTAACCTTTGGAGAACTTTCTCAAGAACCCACTAACCACTGTTTCCTCTTTTTGTGACTACTTCCTTCTGTCCTTATTTGACTCAGCACACTGTATGTAAAGCAGCCCTATCCTAGTGGAAGGGCTGAAGAAACAGTAGCTGCTAAAGCAAAATCACAGTAATTGCCCATCGACAGGAAAGAGTATAAAGATCCATTTTAAGAGTAGTTTGTGTAGATAAGTTCATTCAACTTTCTTCAATCCAAGGAAGGGAAAGAGAAGAATTTATAATTGTCAGGAAGAGAAGAGTTTGTAAATATAATTTTATCTACAAAAAGCAGAGTAGGCAGAGGAAACTGAGGCATCAAAGGGACGTGTAAGAGGCTCCTACATTGTCAGCATTGTCAGTTACATTCTTTTAAAAAAATATATAGGTATGAGCCATTATGCAAGCCTTTTGTCAGCTATATTTTTGATACACATGTCTCTTTATTCATCAGCAAGGCCCTGCTTTTGTCTTGGATATTAAGAATTTTCTCCTGTAAGTGTGTAGCACAGAAAAAAAATAATACTTTAATCTATATACCACAATATTCACTTTTGCAAAAATGAAGCTGCTCTCTAGAATGAGTGGCCCAAGGGTTATAGTTCTCTTGGGGAGTAACCCTTAGTCCATGATTCTGAAATGGTCTTTTTCTGTTAGCAATTCCCATTTCTTATTCTCTCTCTCCTGGACCTAATTTTAGGAGGTCATGACCATCAAGACACTACACTACACTACAATTTAAAGACTGCAATTGGAGAAGTGACTTGTCTTCCATATTACTTGTGATAATTTCTTCTCTTAATCTCAAACTCAGATGAAATCTTGGTTCCATATTTAGAGACGTTTCAATAAATTAGCACATGTTCATAATCTATTAGATAACTTTGGCATGCTAAAAATACCATAAACAGAA